TGGTTCACTGGAGGGGGACAGCCGTGGGAGCGGTTGTGAGCGTCCGTATGGGTCCTGCACGGCGAGAATGCGCAAGAGACCGACCCTATTCCCGCCCTCACCTCCTCCATCCTTGCCTGCTTCATCATCTGATTCACCATCCTTCACCCTGTCGTAGTTGTATGCTGACAAAACTCAGCATCAAGCTCCCAGCTCAACAGAACTCGTCAGGGTTCCCACTAACTTCGGCCGAGTTTGGGGTGGAAGCGACGTCCTTGGCCCAAACCCCCATGGAGTCCGAAACGGTATTCCCTTCCAATGGCCTGGTAGGTGTATTACATACACTACCAGAAATTTCCCGTGTTGAGTTTGTGCATATACCTATCCTCTAATAGACTGCAGAGTCTGGCCCCGTTTAGCGAAATACTTTAACAGTACCTCACCTTTATGACCGTAAATCAATCGAGAAAGGCGCACATCGTAGCCTAAAACACTATCAGTTATAGTGCCTACACTTATGCACATCTGAACTGATTTAGTACTGAATGCTAATAGGGCCGGCAGGAGGGGGTTGAAAATCGCTAGGGGGGAAGGAATCATAGTTCCTTAAAACTGAACCACAACATCCTCATGTCCAGCAGTATTTCGCATACATGCAACGTCCACCCTGGACACCGTGGCCAAACTGTATTACTCCCCCTGGGTGTCAGTAGGGACGCGGGTACCAGGTACGTCAGAACTTACATACACTACTCACTGTAGCCAGTATGTGCATACATGCACATGTCCCAACACCCCTTGGAGGCGGTTGTACTGACCTGGGTCAGTAGCCCAACTGTACAGTAAGTGAACTTTACATACACTACTATGTAGCACAGTATGTGCAGTACCTGCTGTACACACTGGAGGGCCGGTCATGTACTCCGACCCTTCGGTAGTAGTAGGGGGCAACGGTCAGCAGGTATTTCACTTACCAACTAACACTACATGTAGCAGTAATGTTCATACATCTGCATGTACCAACCACACACCCTGGGAGCCGGTAATTTAACCTCGCGACCATGGGTCTAGCTAGGACGGTACAGTAGTGACACTTACATACAGGTATCTATGTAATCATTATGTGCACACTGACTGGGTGGGCTTAACACACCCCTTTGAGGTCGGTATGTACTCGACCGCTGCGGTAGGTTTTATGCTTCGGACGCGTAGCAGTAAGTGAAACCTTACATACACTACCTACTGTACAGTCTGTGCATCACATGCCAATGTACACCCTGTAGGGTGCGGTATGTAACTTTCTACCTGGGTGTAGTACACGGACGTTCACAGGGATAATAGTAGAGAACTTACATACAGTATATCGTAGCAGTATGTGCAAGTACATCCATGTACCACCTGGACAGGCGCGTCATGATAATCCGACTGGGTGTAGTAGGACGGTTACCGTAGTGACACTTACATAAAGTATACGTTGTAGCATCAGCTGTTGCTCCATACATTCCATTACAGCACCCACGCCCTTAGGAGTTCAATCCTAATTGTACTCGCCCCGGCGGGGAGGGGAGTGGGCTGTAGTCAGGACGGCCAACTACAACCTCTAGTGAACTCAACATACAGACTATGTAAGCAGTATCTGCATACACATCATGTACACCACATAAACCACCCTGGAGGCAGTAATGTACTGACCCCCATGGTGCTAGTCAGGACGGAACAGTAGTGAACCTTCACAATACATACTACATGTAGCAGTATGTGCATACATTCATGTAAAGCCAAACCCCCTGGCAGGCAGTATGTACCGACCTGTGTGGTATAGTACGTACAAGTAGTGAACTTACATACAGCTACTATGTAGCATATGTGCATACACATGTACAAAACCACCCCCATGGAGGGCATAATTAACTGACCTGGGTGTAGTAGCGACGTACCACAAGCAGACGAGGTAGTCCTGAAAATTTCTCCCTCCGCCATTTGATGGAGGTCCCTCAATTCCTGACCGCTGGACGAGTCATCTGATTAAGAACAAACAAACTACCAATTATTTTCCAGAGCCTCAGTCCAACGTATTTCATTTCCATGAAATACACAGTATTTCGTCTGTGACTCTAGGACGTGGAGTGCAAAAAAGTGGTTTATACTAAACTGTAGTTCAATGTATGGTTTAACCTCTCATGTGTCGTGTGTGAAGGGTGAAATATCTTAGTAAAATTACCCTAATACATAGTATTTGTTGCACACATGGCATGTGTGCTTTAACACCCTTAATTGTTGGCGAGCTAGTGCTAATAACTGGATAGACCACAGTCTGTACTTCGAAAAACATTTTAGTGTGTAAGCCAGGGTGGGCCAGTTAAACTGATAGATTCATGATCCGAAGACACATTGATTATTTAGTGTGGGCAGCCCTTTCAGTACATTTTCCCGCACATTGGGACGAATATCTTACTGATGAGAGGAAGTAGGAGCAGAATAGTTGAATGGCAATCACAAAAGGTGACGTGTGCAAGGACTTGAGCTGGCTTTGAGGTAGCCGAACTGGTGGATGATTCCTGGGTCCTTCCCACTGTCTTCCATGAACACCTGATGGTGGCAGGGCAAGGGAGGGAGGACAGGAGGAGAGAGAGGGAGGAGGAGGGAGGGGAAGGAGGGAGGAGAGGAGAGGAGAGAGGAAGAAGGGAGGAGAAGGCGGAGGGACAGAGAAAGGGGAGAAGAGAGGGAGATGGATTAAAAGAAGGGGAAGAAAGGGAATATAGTGAAGATAACACTATAATTGAACGTAAGTGGCTAAAGTTGGTGAACACTATAGTTTGCTTCCATTCAGCAGACCTGCCAGCAGACATGAGGGTTCTTCTTGGCAAGGATGAACTGTGTCAGCGGAGATGGCTCCAGCTCGTACTTGTCGAATGGGAAGTTCTCCACAAGCATAGGTTGGGTGTCGACTGTGTTGAACAGTACCACTGGATGGACGTCTCGCGGTGGCTGGTTTTAAAAGAACCAGAGAGGGAGGGAGGAGGAAGAAGAGTGTGTTGGTGTGCAAGAGAACAAAACAACGTAAGAATTACGTACTGCAAAATTGAGCATTGCTAAAATTAACAGGCCCATACCACACCTTGGCTAAAATTTCACATAACTAAATTTTGCAGGCTTTGCTTGCTAAACAAACTGCATACCAGTTTCGAGAGGCTGGGATCGGGCCAGAAAGACTCCGGAATGGGCCAGAACCCTGTGGGGAGGTTGTTTTTGGAACTTGGCTTCACAAATATCATCTTCTTGGTGGAATGCCAGGCAGAGGGGTCAGAGTCCGCCATGGGGGGCGGAGTCACCTTGTCCGAGTCACGTGACGTCTCCCTTTGCAGGTGCTGATTGTCACTGTCTGTGTGTAACAAAGCAGAAATGACGCCATTATGTAAAAGTTTTCCAGAAGTCCGTCGTCTTGGAAGGTAAATGCACGTGCTCTTCGCTGCATGATTTGCCTTCAAAAACGCCCGCCGTTGCTATGGAAATGTGTGTTAATTACTTCCACGCAAAACCTCTTGGGGGACACCTTGGGGCATCGAAAGTGTCCTTTATTCAGGTGTCTTTTAATAGAGGGTAATATAATATTATAGAACAGTTAACCTGCTATTGGTAATGTTAATGGTGAACATTATATTGTGATGCCTCGATACGGGGTCGATTATACAAAAACTTGCACCGCAATACTTGTTAGTTTGGCATATTTTCCAGCATCTTATTATCATTATCTGCCTTCAGTGTCCATTGCTTTGTTTACCAGTTTCCATAGCGATGGGCGTGTTTGACCGGGAGATGTCCTTTGACCCTGGAGCGAGGCTGTTGCTAGGAGACGAGCCACCTATCTTCTGGAAATGCATGACGACTCCAGGATGCAGCTTCTGACAGAGACTCTCCATTGCCTGGACTAGTGTCTTCTGGTTAGTGGCCAGGTAGCATTTCCCTAAGGGAAGTGAAGAGAGTGAGGGAGGAGAGGAGGAAAGAGGGAGGAAAGAAAAGGTAACAAGCTAAAATACGTGACGTAACTCAGTTGTGTTTGAAAAGTCTCTACTATATAGGGGGAGGGAAGACGGATGTGAAAGGGAAAAGAGAGGGAGAGGTAAGAAAGAGAGAAGCAGGGGCTGCAGTGAAAAGGGGAAGGTTAGACAAAGTGGAGGTGAAGAGGGAGAGGGAAGAACAAAAGGCCGAAAGAATAGGGAGAGTTGGAGGGGATGGTGGGGGGGGGAAAGGGAGGAGAAAAATGAGAGAAAGTAAATAAGGAGTAGAGGACTCGGGATGACTGTATCCTGTCCTGTACAGTATGTGTGTGTGTGAACAAGTGAATGTTGGTACACAAAGTGTGGAACTGTAGACAGATTGCCACACTAAAAGAGAACACGCAGTCAATCAGACTCACCACCAGTAGCTTCCGCCATGTTTGACTGTGTTACTTCCACACTGTTTGACGATGCACCGACTCCGCCCATTCCTGGTAACCGTAGCAACACTGTAAACAGCCGCTGGTCCCACCGGAACGGTTCTTTTGTAAGCTCGCTGCCATCGGTAACAGGACCCATGGGTAGAGTCAGCTTTATGGTAGAAAGAGGGGAGAGAGAATGAGAAGAAGAGGGAGACAACAGTGGGAGAAGGGGAGTGTGTGTGAGTGTTTGTGTGCCATTTTCTATGTTTATGCAGTAATGTTTCTACTCTCACAAGGCAGGGTGATGCGACAGGGCAATGCGATGTACTGTGAATCTAGCTCAACCACCGACACATAAAAACAGCACAGAGCTTCCATAACGCCATAGGAATTATTACCAGCCGCAGACACATAAATGTGTCCAGAGCCTCCATATGGCATCCAAAGGGTTTTAATACTGGCCGCTAATACTTATACAGGATTTTCTGCGGAGATACCCGTGGCGTCCAAAGGGTTAAAAAGGAAGGAAGTGGGGGGGAGACATATGGAAGGAGGGAGGACAGAGAAAGGAGATATCGGGTACATTTTTCATACCATACTATAGCGGTTGGGCGAAGAACACATGTGCCCTACCAAATAGGGCAAGACAGGCATTAGTGCTGAGTAAACAGATGAATATCTGTAGCAATTGGCACTTGCTCCACTACACTACCGCTGAAAGTCCATTTTAACCCTTTCGCTACAGGTTACACATGACATACCTTGCTCCCATACTGTACTACAAAAAGTCCTTACATAACACCACGTCCCTGACGAGGGTCAATTTAACTCTTTAGCTACGGGTTAAACGCACCCGGCCCACATACTATACTAAATGTATTTAACTCTTTTAGCTGCGGGTTAAAACATCTCTCCCCCCGTACTCAACTACAGAAAGTCCTTAGGAACGTACCTCGTCCTCGACTGTGATCTCATTGGTCAGCTTTGCGCTGTCGGTAAGGGCGATGATGACAGCTGGCTCCAAAAAGAACGGGTTTCGTCCCTGAAATGAAACCACGAGTTTACTTATTTAACCCCCAAACCTGTCTCCTCTCTCTCTCTCTCTCTGCCTGGTCTATTCTCTCTTCCATCTAACACCATACATACTTGTCCATAGTTGTCAATACAGTTGTGAAGTCTGTGAAGATTCAACAATTGGAAGCTCTCTTTCAGGGCACGGCCAAACGACGAAAGCCCGGTTGCCTTTGTGTGTGTGTGTGAAGACAGTATGTGAGGAGCAGCTGCGTTGAAGACAGGCAAACCTGTAAATTCTTGAGTTCATAGACGAATGTTGTGTGGCTTTCCTTCCAGCCAGACTGCGGTGAGAAAAGGGTTAAAGGACGCACTACAAAAGGGACGCGCGTCCGTCAATTCGCGGCACAGTGCACGGTCGCGCTGTCATTATTTGGAAACGCTAAACGATTCTGCAACTGAAACGAAACAGGTATAACAAACCCAAGTCAGCATTCGCTCAATTACGCGCGTCCGCTCCGTCCCAACAAACACACCTTCACGGCATTTGGAGGTTCGTCGAAAGAGACCAGCATATATCTATCCCCCCGACTTGCAGGATCTCGCGAACGGTACTACAACAACACAATAAACATAACGAAGTAGAACAGATGTTTGTGAAGAATCCCCCTTCTCGCACGGGGGTACGAAAATTCCGCACCCACCGCGCCCCCGCGTACGTACCTTCATAAAAGTATCGATCGCTCCTTTAGCTACATCAAGGTAACACGTACCAAGAAAGGTTCTCTGGTTCATAGAAGCACTAGTATCTACTAAAAACAATATAATACCCATTGCGCGGGTCTCTCGGCCTAAGGGCGAAGTGTGCCTACGAAAAACAGCAACGCATCCTCATACACATTGATCTCTCAGTCCAGAGCCGCGATCAGCAGCTTGAAAAGAGTAAAAATTCCGCTGCTTTTATACTCTCTTTATCCAGCGGCTGTGACGTCACGATATTACATTTACCGTATATCAATTCCAAATAAAACGTAGACACACTGCAACGTGGAGAAATATTGAAAAGGTGTGTACTTTTCTAGCGTGCAGAGTAAATCCTGGAAGCTAGCCTGCCGAGGTTGACTTTCCGAAGGGCCTCGGCCAAGCTGGCCTTGCTGACATTTTCTCCCGCCTCTCTCCACGCCCAGACACAACGGAAGGCCTTTACGGACGGTTCCTCGCCAATCCTGGACTCTATTTCCCGGACTCGACTGTCGGCCACGTTCAGGTGCACGGCGAGCTGATTCCAGCACTCGGTCACCCGCCCCTCGCGGGAGATTTCCTCCAACTCTAGGGCAGATAGCGAGTCCTTCGCCGGATCCAGCACCGACTGCGGCTCCCACTCTCTCACGGATGGCTGCATCTTTACCGCCAGACGACCTTTCCCGAGTCTTTTCAACACTTTCGCCAACTCTAACCGCTCCGATCCCGCTGAAGTCCTCTCTCTCCACGTTTGGAGGAGTTGCATGTTCTTCTGCCAGGCGTTGCAACCCTGTCGCGTCGCGTCTATTTCTAGTCTGTCTAGCTCGCTTGGCGCCAGGCCCAGCAGCAGGCCTGCTCTAAAGAAGCGGTCCGCTATTTCGCTGGACACTTGTCCTAACTCTGCGGAGGTCAATTCCTCCATAAAAGTCAACAAGTCGTCCGAATTATAAGGCGCATGCGCATAATAAAAGTTGGCTTAGTGCGCGCATGCGCTTTACCTTTCGGAAACCAATACAACTTAGGATCAAAAACACTACACTGCAAAGGGCTATGTCAGACAACAAAGTATAAACACACCACAACAAACCGATAACAAATGTGCAGTCTAGAAATGAAAATGTCAGGAGGTGGAAGGCAGAGTATGAAAACAAACAGACGCGACTTCCCAACTTGGAGAGTGGCCAGCTCGCTGTCGAAGAGTGTACAATCCATAACAGCCATCCCTGCAAACACATTGCATAATTGCATAATGAACGCATAAAATCATGGGGTGTAAATCAAAGGCAAGTAGTGCATGTCAACGGCACTCAGGAGTCGAAGGAAAAAAACGGGCCAGGGCGGGACTCGAACCCATGGGTATATATATGCTCTCTACACGCTGCACTCCACCAGCTGAGCTACTCTATAGGGGGCAGCTCAGCAGGCAGGATGCAAGCCAAACGCAAGCACAGAAATCTGTGCCACGCCATGGGAGGTATATATATATATAATACATCAGTAGAAAAGAAGGCAAACATCAGTAGTAAGAGAGCATCAATGCTAATGCTGGCTTACTGAAGGGGGCCAGGGTTCAGAATCCTTGTCTTGCCAACCACACACTGGCCAGGTGAGAAATGTGAGTGGCCATGAATGTTGAGAACACAGTGTCTTTGCTGTAGATTTCACGATGCAAGAGCATCTCATAATTATGCCATTGAATATAATTGAATGATGGTCACATTCAGTGGTGAATTAAAATCACTAAATGTTATCTGAGTGACGCCAATGTGATTATCTATGTGCATAAACTAAATGCACTGCCTCATGCGAACATACATCCTATATAAAATCCGCCAGCTTAAACTTGGCATACGGAGACACTTTCTCTAGCAGTACATACATACAATATTATCATTCAATGCCTTGCTTAACAACACACATAATTATCGCTTTGCAACGTTCTACTAGGTGCATGATGGCCCAATGAATAGTTTGGTAGATGTATATAGCAACTACAATCTCTCACCATCTTTTCCGTGGCAATAAGCTTCATCAGCTCCTTGTTTCCAGAGACTATTGGCTTTTGTGGATCCTCTCGAATATATGAAGTATCTAATTCCACGATAGTGTAAAATTATACAAAGGTGAAAGAAGACTTCTCATTATGGAGAGGCTGACAAAGCTATGATGAGTTTTACGAGTTCTAAATTATAGATCACGTGATATATAGTTTCATGCTATGTGTACAAGCACTCCGCTGTACGGCCATGAGAGGGAACAAATGGTGCAACACTTCAACAATATGATCATAAATTTTGGGGGTGCTTGAGCCCTCTAACCCCCATTGGTTCCTACACATTGATTAATCAAACACAATATGATATCCAATATACTATTATATGTACCGCTCTCGGCTGGGCCAACATGGGTCATTAGAATAACAGCATCGTTGGCAGCCAGACAACTGGTGTCCTCGAAGAACACTGGATCTAGCAACTTGTGCACATCGGAGTCCATCTCAGAGTAATTTCTGTAGGGGAACCCCTCCCAGATCATTTCCCCACCCTGGTAGCCCGGTACGCTTCCACCGAGGCCGAGCAGATGAAGGTTTGGAGCAATCGTGGTTCGTTTCATGTGCATATTACAGGGGAAGGGAGGATTGGAGGGGACGAGGGGAGGCGAGTCTTCACCAACTTTGAACACTGGCAGAACATCATGCTGCAAGGAGTAAAAGGAAGATCAAACACATTGCAGAGTGCTTGCACATAAAACCTGTCCATACTTACCACCACGGGCCAAAAAGTAGGGAGAGAGTGTCTGCCATATAAAGCATTATTGATAGACAGACAAGTGGGTTCTATATTATAGAGAGGTGGTTTACTACAGACAGGTGTTCACTGTATATACTAACATTTCCAGGAATAAAGTAAACTCGGCTCTTGACTGAAGTGAAACTGTCTACAACTACTTGCAAGTCTTTCTGGTACTGTTCCTCCTGCTCTGCCGTCAGGTTCCAGTCCATAGGGGCGTTGGCGATGTCCCCCGAGATCAGGACGACGTCCAGCTTATGGTTTCCGGAGGCGAGCCACGACTTGAGCTGCTCTACTCGCTCCAGAGCGTTGTGTATGTCCGTAACGTGAACTGCAGTTGGAATACATGACCATACGCAAAGGCTTACGTGTTCTACAGGTGTTTCTCTGTATCTACAAGGCTTAGAACTCACGGATGACGAGTTCCATCGTTTCGGCAGATGCAACTTCCCCACCACCGACTCGACTGAGCATGCGCATTTTCATTGTTTGGGGGCGTGGTCACATACACCGTGCTCTAATTGTACGAAAATGTGTCCTGTAAGGAATTTCAAACTCTGTGGTACGAACGAAAAGCCAACGAGTATCGATCGAGTGAAGGGGGAGATCTGGGCGTTCGGGCGTGAGCAATGTGTTCTCCAGAGTGTCGTCCGCTGAGGAGACCAAAGCTGGGCATCCCAGGCTTTTACCCTCAGGGAGAGAAGCAGAGAGAGGTCAGCTAGGCCCCATAAGAAATCTTACATTGAAAAAACTCTAATCCGGATACCAACAAAAAGAAAGTGTCCAGATTAGTGAGCTATAACATATCCTGTGGCTAAATTGCTATCTTTGGGAAAGAAATCGTTATCAAAGACGTGTCCTCGTTTCAGGGTTGTCCCATTGTACACCTGTATCTTTTCTCACAGGATGAGCTGTCGCATACTGCCCTCAACAGCGGGTTCAGGTTGCCTCTGGCCGTCCAGGATGAGGTGAGAATACTAAAAGAGTGACTGGGAACTGCTGTTTTATTTGTCCCACGGGCACGCAGGGTGGGTCGGCTCTGAAAGAGTTTGGACAACATCTGAACACAAAAGAGGTAAACATTGCTAAAGGACTTTGTGTGTGGGTGTTCTTTACTTTTCTCTCTGTTTGCTTCCTCGTCCTTAACTCTTCCCCTTTCCTCTATTTTCTCTGTCAGTGTTTCCCTACCATATCCCTCTTCCTCATCACACAAACTCTCTCTCTCTCTCTCTCTCTCTCTCTCTCTCTCTCTCTCTCTTACTAATACTCACACTCTCTTACACACATACTCTCTCTCTCTTACAAACACATACAACTCATTCTCTTCAGTACTCCACAAGAGTCAACCAAGTCCTGGAGACTAAGAAACGGAGTATCTGGGTCCAGGACAGTCAGAAAAGAAAACTGCCCGTCACAAAAGAGAATTTCTTTCTCGTCACTCTCGGTCGGACGAGGAAAGACATCGCTCAGTCGTGGTTCCAGAATTTGGCAGGAAATAAACCTCTCTCCCAGATGGCAAAGAGGGTTAATAGCTTCATACACAACCACCAATCCACGAAATAGCAGTCAATCGTCCACATGCTATAATATTGTATCCTCTATGCAGAGGTGTCCTTTATTTAGAATCATAAAGTAAGGATTGTCATCTTTTCTTTGGTGGCTATATAGTTAAATTACTGTACATGTATTAGCACCAGATTTCAATATAGAGAGGTGGTCTTTATTTGGAGTATCCATTATAAGAATGTGTACTGTATAATTATAGGTGCCAGTTTTCAACAAAAAAGAAGAGATCTTTGAAAATTTCTGCGAGAGAGACGTGCCCATCTTTAGAGCTGTCTGGTACATCAAGGTATGCCAATTTTATTTGTACATGGAATTGTTGTAAACATCGAAAGTGTACATCATTGTAAAAATCAGAAAGTATGCTCACGTGTATCACTAGTTCCTTAGTAAAGGTGTTGTAAAACGTTACACGTAAGGGTCCAAAGACAGCCCCTATCAAATATAATGCATGCTGTTGTCTTAAGCAAAAAGGTTAAAAGGTTACAAACATACACATGTGTGTTACAACATTGGGTCCAAAGACAGGTTTTTATATAATTATGTAAATGCAGCCCCTATCAAGTATAATGTATGCTGTCGTCTTCAATATGTACCATACAAACCGCACACGTATACAGATGACAGCTCTCTACAACTCCACAATCCCAGACTCAAAACTCAACAAGAAGAAGCAAAGCAACGGACCTTCTTTTGGTAACCATGACATCATTCTTGCAACGCACGACATCACATAGTTTCTATGCCCAAGCCTCTTCCCTTCCTCTCAAATCAGTTTAGGCATAAATGATTTCTGATTTTCTGAAATTTTACGGTGTACAAACTCTTCCAAACTCCACATTGTTGTATGTGTGTGTGTTTCCAGATTGGACTCTGTCACTGTGCCACTACATGCACGAGAGGGCGTGGCGTGCCAGCGCTGGTAGCGGTGGCGGCTACTCCAGTCGGGCGTCGGTCAGCAGTGGCACCTCAGGGGGGGTGGGTGGGGGACCTTCGGAGGAGAGCCTCGCCGAGATACACCGCTGGAAGTACATGGTCAATCTCTCTGGCTGGCTCTATGAGGTAGGAAGATCACTTTGTACATATAATTATGACGAAGTGCCTAATTGTTATATACATGTAGAGCATTTATAGCTTGAGATTTGAAATTAATAGTTGTAATTATGAAGTAGTGCCGTAAATTTGTGTCGGTTTTTTTGTGTATGATGAATTAATTGCACATGATGGTGAGTGTTTGTACGCTTGCATTAATTTCAAGATTCATTTATGTACATACGTGTTTTGTGTTATCTCTATGCTATCCCGTGTGTAGACTTGTAAGGTATGAGTATTCTATATCAGTGTGCTCGGGTCGTGTGAGACTCACATGATTGTCACATGACTGCAGGAGAACTTGCTGGACAGACATGAGTTCCTGAGATGGTTGGTGGCAGAGAGGATTGCAGATCACGTGAAACAGCAAGACACAAAGTCACTCCAACTCTACCTCTCTCTGGTGCTCAAGGTAGAACTCACATGATAGTCACATGATACTCATGTATTCTCATCCTCCCAATGGGGCAACTCACATGACAGTCACATGATACGTGGAGCTCCTCACGTGATACAGGGAACTTAGATAGACAACTCAACATGACAACCACATGATACTCATGTACAGTAGCTTTTCTGGTACTTTCACATCACAGTTAAAAGAGGAGGGAGGGAAGTGGCATGCAGAGGCTTTCTGGTGATGGAGCCTTGTGTAAAGATACATAATTATATATTAGTTAACTTACACACTGAGGCAGCATTCACATGATATTCACATGGCAGTCACTTGTTTATTTGCTCTGCAGTATTTGCTGGATATCTGCAGCTGTGTGTCCCTCTCTCGATCACTAATGACCTTCTGCTCCCAGAAGCTCGTCTCGCTCTACGAACTGAACCAGAGACTGCAGAAAACCCACATGCCCCCCGCGGCACTGACGGCCCCCTCGGCCTCAATTTCCACCCCCGGAATCGAGATCAAAGTGGAACCCCAGCTGGGAACGCTCATGGAAACGAACCAGGACGAGGACAGTGTGTTTAACGACCAACCCTCCGTGAAACAAGACCCAGATGGGAAGAGGCAACGACAGGGGTCAGAGAGAAGACGAACACTGAGCATCTCGACGGGGAGCAAAGGGACAAACGCCGCGGCAAGTGGAGCCATTCAGAAAACAGGGGACAGGTCGGGGGAGGAAAGAGCGACGTTGTATTTCAGCTGGTGTGGTCATCACGGCTCACTCCTGCTGCAACTCTCTAGTGTTATACAGACCGTTGCCGTCCAGTGCCCAACTGCCTTTGTTCACTGCAGCGTGAAGGGATCCAGCAAAGGTAAAAGTAAGACACACATTATGTACTATGGGACGGCCCAAAGTTCTTGAGCCACTAAATTTTTAGAACAACCGATAAATATTACTGCTCTTTTCTTAGAGTTTATTTGTTCGGATCGAGGCGTACCCATGAAAATTGTGTATGTCTCAAAACGTATTACAGAGTCATTGAGCTGTATAAATTATATAATATATATATACAAATTTTGCACCCATTGTGTTCGGAACATACTGGTGTTTGCCTTACTCCCAGATACCTTAACACTTAACCAGCTGCGGACACATAAAATGTGTCCAGAGCCTACATAAGTCCATAAGAATTTATATGGGGGTTATAATACTAGGCGCTAATACTTTATACATCAATTTCTGTTTAGATACCCATGGCGTCCAAAGGGTTTTAAGCTTGCAGGTGCTTGCTTTAGTGATTACAAACAGGAAGAAAGTTGCTTTTTATATATTGCGTGATGCCATAATCTTTTCTGTACGTACTATGTCTGTAGATAGAGGAGGTCCACTGTTGTCACAGTTACCAGTCAGTCTGGCTGAGCTCCCAATGCCCCCATCTCTGGAACCAAAACTACACAAGAAGGTATGTGGGTGTGGGTGGGTGTGGGGGGTGGAAGATTTTGAGAAGTAGGGGTAGTAGGGGAAGGAAGGAGAGAGGAAGAAGAGGAAGCTGAAGCCGGAAAAGGTGAGAAGAGAGAGAGATAGGAGAGAATGTTGATGGTCGTAAAGTAGGTGAGCTAACGAATGTGGGTCACGAGCACAGTGCTCCATTTTACTGATTTTACGTTTCAACCCTATAAGCTTTTGTGGTTCTGCTGAGCTTGTCTAAGCGTCTCCCTGCTTTATTCTCATCCTTTACCCAATTCTCTTCTTTTCTTCCCTCCCCTCTGCCTGTGTGGAGACGTGTTGCTGCCACTATAATATTTACCCATTGACATTATACTGTATGTATCTTCAGTTGATGTTGGTGTTGCGAGCCACGGAGCAGGAGGTTCAGCAGAGGACAAAGGCAGCCGAGAACGGCTGGTCTGCACTTACTGCTGCCGACCTCCAAACCACTTCTGAAGGTATGAGCTGAGTTGCCCTGGTAGCTCAGTTGGTAGAGCGCTCGCCTAGACTGCAGAGTGTCGTGGGTTCGAATCCCACCCAGGACAGCTCTTTATTAAAAAAGAGCTGTCCTGGGTGTAGTTGATTTGTTTGTTGTGCCTTTGCTTTCTACCTCATAGTTTTCACATGTATGTATATACTTTCTACATAATTGGTGAGCTAAGTGAGCCTCCCTTGTCGTCTGAATGCGAGATTTTTCCAATATGTACAGTAACTGTAACAGTAGATGGACTGTGATGTTTATGCTTCTCTAAATAAATACTTCGTGAGAAAACCCGCACGTAATATTGAACTGCTCACTTCGCTCAACAGAAATGCATTGCATTCGTTCTAGTACCATACGTGTAACTTGGTCAGAAAATAAATCTTTCACTAATAGGTTGTACGAGCACAGTTTAGAGAGTAAGTATGAACAGCAATTGTGAAGAAAGTTTTTAGCCATGTGTGAAGAAAGTTCTTAACCGTGTGAATTGACATTATAAAATTTCATCTTCTCACTCACAACCCCACCCACCTTCCCTGTCCCCTCTTCCCGGTCGACAGGAGAGAGTGTTCAGCAGGTGCTGAAGATAATTGAGGTTCTGGACGGACATTCCTTCACCCGTTGCCGTGGTCACAACCCCCTCACTGTCCTCTATTCCAAGCTCTGTACCATACAGTCTGAAGCTGAGGTATGTACCAAATACTACCACACCCTGGTGTCTCACCTCCCAGACAGGAGGTGAGACAGACTGTTCATTTGGTGTGTGTTCGTTTGTTCATGGTTGCTGTGGGTGCGTGGTCGATGGCCCTCGTGCTATGGCTGCCATTTGAGTATTATTTTTACTCCAAAAATTCTGATTTTGTTCTCTGATTTTCTGCAGGCTCCTCTCAGTGATAGCATGCTGACGATGCTGCTGTGTGAATGGGCCGTCTCTCAACACCGCACGGGACACCACAGACCCATGGTGGTGGCCAAGCTTCTGGCCCAGCGACAGAGCGACCTACTCAAGGTATGGAATGTGTGATTTCTAGTTCGCTAGAGAAGCGAGTCTGCCTACTCCTCTGAATGCGGGATTTTTCTGAATAATTATATGTGACGGACACTGCACATACACCGTACTATTTTACGCGCAAAATATTTGCCCACCAAAAATATTATATAATAATTAAAGTGTGTAATTTTTTGAGTAATAAACAGAGGATTGAGCGACGTGCAGTATGTGGTATCGCAATGCATGCGACATAATTTTAAGACCCTAACCTCTGTGTGACTTCGGAGTATCCAGTAGTGGATTTTGTGGTCATACCGTATGATTGTCTGGTCTTTTTCATTGTACGAAGTTCGAGGGATGGAAAGTGTGCGGAGATCTCGTGGCTCTAGACGAGGCATGGGAGGAGGCTCCGCCCCCTCCCTCTGGCGAGATCAGGGACTTCCCCTTCCAGCAGGCCCTGTTTCGTTTCCTTGACAGCCACGCCCCTCTTCCAGGTCAGTTTGTCAGAGAGAGGGTGGGAGGGAGAGAGTGGCATATATACTACATATTATGTAGGAGGTAGTGCTGTACGCATAAAATAGTGTATTAGATAGAGCACAGGAGGTATAGAGTAGTTCCGTATACTTAATAGAGGTACAGTATGTATAGTTGAAGCAACAGAACGAGAGGCATGAAAAAATCTTTCTTTCTTTCCTCAGGTGATCTTTCAGCTCCTCTGCGATCCACGGACCCCTTCTTCCATCTCGTGTCCCTCTTCTCCAATCTCATCCAGCACAACGTGTTCTCCCACTCCCTCTACCTCTCCCTCCTCATCGCCAAGGGGGAGGTTCGCTCCCCCATCATCCCCTCCCTCCCCTTTGCCAGGGAGGGAGAGAGTCTCTACCACCACCCGAGACCGGAACCGGAATCGGAACTGAGTCTCTCGATATCGCTCCCCGTGCTGAAGAAGCCTCGGCTTGACCTTGGTCCGGGGGGTGGGGTGGGGCGAGGGACGGCGGGGAGGGTGGGAGGGACACGCCCACTGGTTCAGGTTCTCCTAACACCTCCGGTTTCAGGTGAGTACTCTTCCTGTAACACCTGTAAAAAAAATGTAAAAATGCTAAAACGTCACATTTTTGTGAAATGCAATTTTCGTTTGTTAAATTATGTGTGCACACTCTGGGACGATTTCATTGTTTCCCATTCAGATCTTTTGGGCTGCGATCGCTTACATATTTTGGGGTCCGTTTGTCACTATAGTCATGGAACCTCCGATAAGGGACCCTCCGGAATAGGGACGACCTCTCTGCAGGGTGTCCCTTGCTCGGAGGTTCCACTGTGATATACACAACAATTACGCAACTTTTTCCACGGTTTTTCTCATTTTCTCCCTCTCCCACAGCCTTGGTCATCCGCCAGATGGCATCAGCATATCTGCCATAAACATGATGGGGGACAGTGGTACCTCATTCGGCGGGAAACCAGAGGCCGCGTCCGACTGCAAGGTCGGGGAAAACGTCGCGCTCCTTCGCCAGCAGCAACTGGACTCTCTCCTCACGTCGGACATGGGACTCTCTCGTCTCGTCTCCCCACTTCCATTTAACCCCCAAGAAGACCCGACCGTCTCACCCATAGCTCCAGTCCTCTCACTCTTGACTGGAAACAGCTCAATTTTCATGGAAGAAGAGCAGAGCATCGAGCTCAGCATCAACAAACACTCTCAGCGGCATTTGCTCTACACAGCCTACTTTCCTCTCATGGACACCCGCCTCACCAAACAAGAACTGAGCGAGCGCTCCGTCGTCCTGTGCGGGATCGGAAAGTCGAGAACCAAAGTCGAGAAGATTGTGAAAGGGATCATGGACAATGTCGAGCATTATTTCCGTCTACTGCAAAATGTGTCCTCCCCGGTCTTGCCCGATAACACAGGCTGTCCGAATCTAATGCAGAAATTTCAGGTCCTCCCCGTGTTCGAGCAGTGTGTCATAGCAACCGAGTGCGAGAAGCGACTGCGAGCGATCGTACGCAAGAACCGAAGCTTGTCAAACGTGTCCATCTGTTCGGCGCTCGTCTTTGTGTGCGAACTGCTCGAAATCTCCGGCAGCGTTTCACAGATACTGAATCTTTTAGTCGACATCATATCGAGTGACGTTTTCAACGAGGAAGAGGAAGAAAACCAGGAGAAGGAGATGGAAAATTCGGTCATCACTTATCCCCCTCTCCCTCCCGACCTATGTCTGCCCGTGACCTGTCTCCTGCGAAAATACCTATCCTGCCTCCTCCTCTCTCAACAGGACACCATTATCGTCTTTGAAAGGTAAGGGGAGTGAAGTTGTGCGTGAGCAATGGGGTAAATTAAAGTTGGTGCGAAAGCACACACACACAGAGTGCATGTGTGGTGCCTGGAGTAAGTAGTGCATATTTGGTGCCTGGAGTAAGTAGTGCATATTTGGTGCCTGGAGTAAGTAGTGCATATTTGGTGCCTGAGTGTACATGTATGTGTTGCCTAGCGTGCTTAGCGCATGAGGTGCTTTTGCCTTGTGCATATGATGCTTAGTGTACATGTGTGTGTTGTACCTATAGTCTTTATGGTGTCTGTGACCGTAAGGTGCAAATGTATACGTACACCTCTTATGGCGGGTTGCGTCAACAATGGCCAAGCCTTCCTTACACATTGTGTGAAAATTTGCCGGCTACTTCAACAGCTTCCCCAGTAGCTCAGTTGGTTAGAGCGTCGTACTTATAAGCAGTACTGACTCTGAGAAATGCGAAGGTCGGGAGTTCGATCCTCCCTTGGGGAACTTTTTTCTTTTTCTGGACGCTATTTCCTTCACTCTTCTCCTTTTACGTTTTTAGCCACATGTGCGTAAAACACCGATTCTCTTTTTAACCACTTCAGTAGGAAAAGGGAATATAGCAGTTAGGGCTAATTTTAAGAGCTTGTACTGAAAGCGAAACCTCATTGTATTCTTCCACTGGGCCCCATTGGCTGAGCTCTCTCACTATTGCTCTTATGTACTGCCATATTCCCTTTAACTACTTCACCCTAGCATACACTTAACACCTGGGTCCATAAAGCACAGGGTCACATGGTGCTAGAAACAGCATGCAATCAATAAAGGTGTGTTCTGATAACCAAACTATACGTGTTCCCCTTTTCATTCTTTTTTTCGGCCTCGTCTCTCCAGCCTCTGTCGTGTCTTGGAAGGAGTGAAGCAATCGGCTAAAATCTCATCCTCACAGAAGACAGTTTTTCTCTTTCTTCATCATCTTTTCTCCTGCTGCAGTTTCATACGGGTAATGTTGCCACTAGTCATACTGTATTCAGTGCAACCTCTGATAGAGGAAGACACTCAAACATTTTTTTAAAAATCTGCCACACTCTATGGTTCCCAAACACTCACTTTTCTATCATTGTGGTGTTACTCCTTATGTCCAAAGTTACCTACCACACCAAACAAGAACTGGTTTAGATCCATTCAAACTGTTTGCGAAGATGGCGACACCAGGCGAGCTGTTCAGCGATGAGATACTAGACCCATTTTTAACCTCCAAAGAGAGGACAATCCCCCTTAATCCCAACATGTCCATTATGAAAGTTCCACTGTCGCACCAATACAATAACAAGGACGCTGCATAATGGCGAAGGCATCAGGGCTTTTAACACTATATCCGCAATATGCTGCTGCATACTGTAATTAATGTGCAAACTTATTATTAACCCTCGGCGCGCATGCGCAGCGAGGGTTACAGTAGTCGTTCTGTCATTCTGTCTGTCTGTCGTCTGTCCGCGCGAGTTCTAGCACTACAGGCCACGAGGCGGCCAATGAGTGGCACCAACGGGTTGTGAACGACGAGAAGATTAATATCAATGTGGCGATTTTCCCGAAACGACTGCGTTCGAGAGATATGGCGTGAAAACAAGCGAAAAAGCTAACGCAATCGATTCATCGCGCACGCGCGTATGTGGGTGTATCGTTTTGCCGGAGCATCAGATGTGAGCGATCCATCGCGCACGCACGTATGTCGTTTGCCGGAGCATGCGCATCTGCTAGATTCCGCGTGGTTTAGTTGACCTTTGACGAGCAAGCGGTTTTTGAGTTTCCCTCCTCAGTCATTGTTGATCTCTGTTCTCGATGGACAACAAATTGAGCAAGGTATGTCCGCAACGTTCATAATCGTGCTGGGCTTACCGCGACCTGTTCCGCTCGCTCTGTGTACCTTTGGGGCTCAGAAAGTCACAACGAACGGCCTCCCGCATGCTATCTACTACTGTAGCTAGCCCGTGTCAGACTCGCGACGTGAGCAGTATCGCGTATATATGCGCAGTTCTCCGAGGGTTTGCACTTTAGTGCTTTTCATTTGAGAGGCAAGGTTAATTAATGTCTTTCTTTTTCAGAAAACGTGTTACTCCCTGTTCCGGCCGCTCCTGAATTTGCTTGGCAACGAGATGTTGATAGAGTCGTACCCGCCTACCAACAGCGAGACACCATTTCAGAGAACGGTCATATCTGGCCAGGTGACCAAACCAAGGTATTTACACTGTATAATACTACAAGTATGCAACGCATTTTTGGCAAGCGAAGCAAGCAGTTCAATATTTCGCGCATGTTTTGCACGTACAGAGGAACCTCATATAAGGGACACTCTGAGATAGAGACAACTTCTCTACAAAGGACACTTGTTTCAACCCCCATGTTAATACTTTAGTGTGTTATTTGACCTCCGAGATAGGGACGACCTCTCTACAAGGGACAAAATCGTGGCCCCATAGTGTCCCTTGTTCGGAGGTTCCACTGTATTTAGAATCACTAGCACATTACGGTATGTGCAGTGCCCGTCACATAAATTCCCGCATTCAGACGACTAGGTAGGCTCGCTTCACTCGCCGATTATACTGATCCATTGGTAAACTATAGTGTATTTGTACGTTTGACGTGCATAAAATTTTTTATTTGCAGTGAGTGTGACATTCGGACAGTTTGTCACTTCATCAGAAACAATCCTTTTTCTTCGTATCAGAAGACCATCTGCTTTTTCGTCACCGACGTCTTCTCCACCGTCACTCAGAAGAATGCCAACAGGTAAAATGTGTGTAACTTTATACAACTACATCGACCAACAGTATACCGAAACTTTCTTTCACCAAAAGTTCATTTTAGAAATTTATTCTCATCGTTTCAGTCACACTCTCTGTGATTTGGCCCACGTGTGTGCGGAGGTGTCGTGTAACATCGGAGTGCTGGTGAACAAGGAGTTAATGGGTGCATTCCGAGCACTCTGTCTCCCCATGAACATGATGAAAGCCTGTATGACCGGTTTCAACCACCTCACCAGCAAGTCAAACGTGCGTTAACCTCACTCTCTTTAAGTGGGATTTTCCTATGTGTAATTGATATTGGACTTAAAGGGAATGTGGTAATATAATTATAAGGGCTAAGTTTATAAAATTTTAATGATACAACAAAACAATAGGGGCACAGTAAAAGAATTTAATTGAGTTCCGTTTTTACTAAATTTAGCCCTTATATACTGCCACATTCCCTTTATACAACTACAACTCATACTGTTGAGATATTCCTAATTCTTTCTGTATTGGCGAGGCAAGCAAGTCTAAATGTATATACCTAGAATTAAATTTCACACATGATATGTGTTGCATTTTATACTGCACATGCCTCCATCCCTCTGCAGATCTTGCTGGACCCAGGAATACAGTCAAAGCTCATCTCATTCGCTGGTCTCCTGGTTGCCAATGACTGCTTCTTTCTGCGCGATATCATCGCTTATATCATCCAGCCCATCATTAAAGTCCAGATGACCCACCCACATGGTCAGTTGGTGCTAAGTTGGTGAACTAAATTAATATTTCGTACTTTTGTGCGCATATTGGGAGAGGGACACACAGGCCAACGAACAATTCCGATTATTTTGCCTCTACCTGTAGAGTGCAGTGCAATCACGAGCATAATAATTCGTACTTTCTGTGAGCATGGACAAGCCAAAAAACCATCCTGAACACCTTGACTATAGCTGGAGTGTGCAGTGTATAAGAATAGTGTGGCTTAAACTTTTCGTACTTTTAGCAAGAAGGTGGGGAGAAGGACAGCCCAACCAACCATCCTGAACACCTTGACTATAGCTGGAGTGTGCAGTGTATAAGAATAGTGTGGCTTAAACTTTTCGTACTTTTAGCAAGAAGGTGGGGAGAAGGACAGCCCAACCAACCATCCTGAACACCTTGACTATAGCTGGAGTGTGCAGTGTATAAGAATAGTGTGGCTTAAACGTTTCGTACTTTTAGCAAGAAGGTGGGGAGAAGGACAGCCCAACCAACCATCCTGAACACCTTGACTATAGCTGGAGTGTGCAGTGTATAAGAATAGTGTGGCTTAAACTTTTCGTACTTTTAGCAAGAAGGTGGGGAGAAGGACAGCCCAACCAACCATCCTGAACACCTTGACTATAGCTGGAGTGTGCAGTGTATAAGAATAGTGTGGCTTAAACTTTTCGTACTTTTAGCAAGAAGGTGGGAGAGGACAGCCCAACCAACCATCCTGAACACCTTGACTATAGCTGGAGTGTGCAGTGTATAGACTAGTGTGGCCTTAAACTTTTATCCTTTTAGCAGAAGGTGGGGTAAAGGAACGGACCCAACCAACCATTTATTAAATACCTGGACTATAACAGGAGTGTGCAGTGTATAAGAGTAGGGTGGCCTAAACTTGTACTTTAGTGGAGGCAGGACACACATAACCATCTCTGATACTTGACTCATCGTGGAGTGTGCAGTTGTATAAGAGTAGGGTGGCTTAAACTTTTCGTTACTTTTAGAAGAAGTGTGGGGACGACAGACCACCATACCATCTGAATACCTTGACTATTGCTGGAGTGCAGTGTATAGAGTAGGGTGCCTAAACTTTTCGTACTTTTAGAAAGAAGGTGGGGAGAAGGACAGACCAACATACCATCCTGAATACCTTGACTATATGCTGGAGTGTGCAGTGTATAAGAGTAGGGTGGCCTAAACCTTTGTACTTTTAGAAGAGGTGTAGACGACCAACCACTTCTGAATGCCTTGACTATAGCAGGAGTGCAGTGTATAAAGAGTAGCGTGGCCTAAACTTTTCGTACTTTTAGAAGAAGGTGGGTAAGGCAGACCAACCAAAAAACCATTCTGATACTTGAACTATAGCTGAGTGTGACAGTGTATAGAGTAGTAGGGTGGCCTAAACATTTGTACTTTTAGAAAGAAGGTGGGAGAAGGACAGACCAACATACCATTCTGATACACCATTGACATATAGCTGAGTGTGCTGTGTATAAGAGTAGGGTGGCCTAAACCTTTTGTACTTTTAGCAAGAAGGTGGGGAGAAGGACAGACCAACTAGCCATTCTGAATACCTTGACTGTAGCTGGAGAGTGCAGTGTTTATCACTCTGAAATGTTATTGGGTGCTAAATTTTTTTCGCTATGTGAGGAAGGACATGCCAACCAACCATCCTGAATAGGTTGGTGTAATTGGCGGGCAAAACAATCCTACACCTTGTCTATACACTCATTCCTGACGGGCACTGCACATCTCGTAATACCTTACGTGATTCTATGCCCATGAAATATTGGACTACTCACATTTGCTCACTTACATTTATTCTAGTACATATTATTATGCCCCCAGACCTTTTTCTATCTATTGCGCATGCATGGGCCAGAGTACAAAGGGTGATTGCGCACCTTGATCTCGTTGTGGCTGGTGGCAAGGTTTATCACTACTAATTAAACTGTCTGACGGTGTGTGGTTATATATGAACTCTGTTTTGGCATTGCTGCAGCGGTCAAAACAACGCAGTCTAGTCATGTATTTGTATACTGCATCACACCACCACTGGTGCTGGAGTACCTGCTGTGTCTACAAGAGTAGGGTGGGCCTAAACTTTTCGTACTTTAGAAAGAGGTGGGGAGAAGGACAGACCATCAACCATTCTGAATGCCTTGACTATAGCAGGAATATGCAGTGTAAAAGAGTAGCGTGGCCTAAACTGTTCGTACTTTTAGAAAGAAGGTGGGGTAAAGGACGGACCAACCAACCATTCTGAATACCTTGACTATAGCTGGAGTGTGGCAGTGATATAGAGTAGGGTGGCCCTAAACTTTTGTACTTTTAGAAATGAAGGTGGGGAGAAGGACAGACCAACATACCATCTTGAATACCTTGACTATTGCTGGAGTTTGCACTGTATAAGAGTAGGGTGGCCTAAACTTTTCGTACTTTTAGAAAGAAGGTGGAGAGAAGGACAGACCAATCAACCATTCTGAATACCTTGACTATAGCAGGAATGTGCAGTGTAAAAGAGTAGGGTGGCCTAAACTGTTTGTACTTTTAGCAAGCAGGTGGAGGGAAGGACAGACCAACCACCATCCTGAATACCTTGACTATAGCTGGAGTGTGCAGTGTATAAGAGTAGGGTGGCCTAAATTGTTTGTACTTTTAGCAAGCAAGTGGGGGAAGGACAGACCAACCAACCATCCGAATACCTTGACTATAGCTGGAGTGTGCAGTGAAAGATAGGGTGGCCTAAATTGTTTGTACTTTAGCAAGCAAGTGGAGGGAAGGACAGACCACCTAGCATCTGATACCTTGACTGTAGCGGAGAGTGCAGTGTGTTATCACTCTGCATGTTATTGGTGCTAAATTTTTTTCGCGATGTGAGGAGGACATTGCCAACCAACCATCCTCCTGAATCGGTTGGCTGTAATTGCGGCAAAGCACATCCTGACACCTTCGTCTATACACTCAGTGATCCTGACGGGCACTGCCCGTCTCGTAATACCTATTACGTGATTCTAGTGCTACCCATGAAATATTGACTCAACTCACATTTAGCTCACTTTCTCACATTTATGTTCTAGTACATATTATGCCGCCCAGACCTTTTTCATATCTAATAGGCGCGTAGCACATGCGCAGAGTACAAAGGGTGATTGCGCACCTTTGATCGTCGGGTTGGGTGGCTGGTAAAGGCAAGGTTTCTCACTATTAATTAAACTGGTCTGTGACGAGGTGTGTGTTATATAGGGTTAAACTCTGTAATTTGGTGGGAAGTTGGCATTGCTGCAAGGTCAACGCTCGTAAAGGAAAGGTCAGCGTAGTATATACAGTCACACAAAACTATACCGACTGGTGAACCTAGACCATTGACTCTGTGTTTTGCGGCAAATGTGCTGTGCAGTCATAGTGCTACTAGGCAGTGTGTGTAGTATAGACTCGCCTAAAAATCAACACACACTATACACATTTTTAAAATAATGGAAATGGCACAAGTGCACAGGATGACACAGGGTACATGTTAGGCACACAAGTGTCGGGAACAAAAGAGGTAAGGCATGTGCAGACACAGAGGATATGCCCCGAGAATTTGTGTCGATACAAGTCACAGTCTCAGTCCTTCACGTGTACATACGATAAAGATAGACGTGTAGGCGACGGGATACCATACTCGAGGTGGTCACCATGCCAAACTCTGTTGCACGCTGGGACAAACGTTCCTCACCCCATTATCCGTACCTTAATCACAGTGCTCCAACTCCCGCCGTTCGTGAGACCGCCTCGGCATCGATGATCCCCGGGCCAGGGAGTTGGATAGTTCGGATTTACACCTACTAATATCGCGTCCTCTAGATCTTCTTCGATATCACGCCACATCCAACGTACTGTACAATGGCCTGGCTGCAGTATAACCCATCTTTGGCCAACACAACTTTGTCACGTGCGTGACATTTAACCCCTGAAATATGGTCACCTCACTAACACAGACACTTTTTCCCCTATTGGTGTCCAGAGTTTAAGGTGTTCCACTGTCGCTGGTTGCTACGTAGCTGTGCTCATAACCACCGAAAATTTTTTGCACTCTATCAGGGTTTACCTAAAGCAGGGAAGCAGGGGAGTTTACCTTACTTTTTTAATTCCCCCCTCCTTTCTCCCTGCTTTACAGAAGTGTATATACTTAGGCAAATGTGTGTAATAGATGCATAGTATAGTCTTTTGGAAGTGAATGTGTAAATGGCCACCAATAGTCTAATTGTGCGTGGAGACGGATTTTTCAACTCTCGTTGCTCTTTTCCTCAGCTCATCAAGAGGGAGTACATTTGGGAGCGTGAGAGGTGGTATGCAGGTTTTGGTGCAGACTGATCCGCACAGGTCTACCGTCAAAGAGGTATTATTCTACATCAAGTGCCAGTGAAAGCGAGTGCGCAATTTTAGCCCTTTTACAAGTTCATCAGGGAACGATGTGTTGCCAAGTTACTATTCATGACTAACTTACGGTTTCATAAAAATGTCGCTAAATTATGTCACAGAAGATTTTTAGTTACGTATCAGCATGATGCTTATGTGTTCAGGTGAGGGCTACCCTGGAAACTCTGACGGCACAGGATTGGGTGAGAGAGAAATGCATGCAGCAGTCGTCGCGTCTTCTCGAACCAGATTACCTTGGAGACACCACCCTGACTCCCTCCCAGGTCTAGTGTTTGTTTGGGAATTAAACTGATGGGGAACAATGAAGCATGAGGACCACGTTGTTGGCAAAAAAAAAGTCCTCCAAATAAAGAGACAAGCTAGGACCACGACAAAATGTACTCCCAGTGTCCTTAATTAAAGTAGACGCAGTTCACACAGTCTCTTATTAAGGAATCAGGGGATAGATGCAAGTTTCCTTTTAGAGACGTGTCCTTTGTAATCCAGAGTGTCCATGTTAGCAACTCCAAAGCATTATTCATGTATACTTTATTAGGACTAGAGGACTACGTACTGTACACATAGTCTTATTTCAAACGCAGTTCGATTGATTTGGTGTAGGCTCACAGTTAGTACACCAGTAACCTGGAATCTTCTCTGCAGGCTAGATATCTGTTGGACATGCTGTGTCCGTGTGTCCCGAGCAGCTCATCGGCAGTTAACGTTGAGAAACCTCCTCCGCTCCATTCCATGGAGAGCACCTCAGCTGTCGCTCATGTCCTGAAGGTACAGTGACAGTATATACCGTGACAGAAATAGGCAAAAAGACTCCCTCTCACATCCAAAAATGGATGCATCGGGAATAATTCTCCCACCCTTACTTTAAATAAAACAATTTGGTTTGTAAATCCAAAAGTAGTGATGCATTTGGAAAATTTCTTCCACTCTACTGTAGCTATACCACAGGTTTAAACGGCCCAGGTTTAAATTTGTACCATTTCGTGCAAATTTTACATGGATTACGAAAATTTCATGACTCTTACAATGAAGTGAGTTCGTGAAATTTTTGCGTGTAAGCTGTCCCTCGCTACTGGGTATGCGGTTTTAGGACAAAATTTAGTAAAAAATAATGCTGGATTTGTGAAAATTACAGGGAAGATAATTTCTCTCCTCTTCCTCCCTATCTCAGAACCTCAGTCAGTGGACTCTCAACAACTCGCTGGTTCACATAAAACTCCACATCGCTCAGGCGGTCTCCAGTCACACGCGACAATCTCTACTTGATGACCTCGCTTCTCAGGTGAGGGATAATTGCGCGCGTTAACACGCATGCGCGGAATTAATGCATACGAATCCATGTTGTAGATCCGCCACGCGCAATGAGTTAAGTTGCACCACAAAAGTGGCAGTAAAGAACTACGCAGATATACGGCACAGACTATGCAATGGTGCATGCGGAGCCACACAGCGCACAGTTGTGCAGTGTAGGAGAGCCGCACACACGCAGGTTCACACTACAAAAAAGCCCATAACAAGCATATGTACGTACTATGTCGGGAACCTGCCTTTAGAAAGTGGCAAAACACGAACCTGTGCAGTGCATACAGGAGGTCATTTTAACTAAAATCACAATATTAATCTTAAACCGTAATACAGTTAACATCAGTGAAATAGAAATAATTTGGTGTTAAGTTTTTCTTATCATGAACACGGGCGGATGACTTTTTGGTCCAATTTTCTCACGTCTTGTTCTTGAGCAGGTGATTCAAGTGTTTGAGGAGTCATGTGGCAGCGAGTGGGCAGGACAGGGGCAGACGGAGAGTCCCTCGGACAGCGGGGACGGCGCCTACAGCCCCAGCGTGTGGCTTGTGACTCCGCTCATATCCAAACTCCAGCAGGTGGTTCTCGGGCGAGTCCTCAAGTGTGCCGGCCACGTTCTGGGTCAGGGCCAGTGGTGGAACCCGGACAGGGGCCAGGAGAAAAGACGCTCCACAAGAGCCACCAGGTACGTATTTTTGTTTGTAAGAGTTGTCCCTACTTACGTACTCTCTTCTTTTTTTTCCATTGGAGTTCTAACTATGCCAAAAAAACACTTACAGAATGTGAGACCTGAATTTACTGAGTTGTTCAGTAACCAGAAGTTTTTTTCTTCTTTTTTTCCCAGCGGAGCTGTCCCAGCCAAGACAGGCCTACAGTGGCAGCAGCCGTTCCTCCAACTGGTCCTGGCCTGCATGAATGCTCAGGCCACCACGCACGAAGAGCTGCTGGGCCCTCTCAAGTCACAGCTACAGAGCTTTCTCGCTGCCTTCGATAAGGTACATACATAAACTACAGTGAAGACACCTGTCTACTTTTAGTTCAATATGGAGTGATTGTTTGTCTATTGACTAAAGGGCACCGCTATTGTTTCCAGCTTATCCCTCATTGATTGGGAGAGTCCAATGTTCTATGAATTTTCCTAAAAGCTGCCCTAACACGTTTATCTACTGAACAGTGATGGGAAGTTGGTTTTTAAATGTGTTGCAAGGTGGTGAACTGGTAAAAAGGATAGAACTTCCCCTCACATGTTTTAGAGTGTGTATGGTGGCTTACTAACTCATGTCAAATGTGGGTTTTCAGTAGACTCTCTGCATCTTTACATGCAATAGGATGGAATGCCAACCGACGAACCGAGCAAGTCAATGCTGTACGCAGCTCTGAAGCTAAGGCTAAGCCTGGTAGGGTCTATGCTGGGTACCATCTGTAGTTCAGATACAACTGCTCTGGACTGGACCACGCTGCTAATGCAGCTCATCTGCTCCGGTGCTGTGGACAGACAAACCGACAGCAGGTCTGTGTGTGCATAAAGTGTTCCTAGCGCCAAGGGTTTGCACTTTTCGTGCTTTCATTTTCAGCGGGTAAAAGTTCATTGAATTCTAACAAAAAATGTTTTGCTGCATGTGCCAGCAACAACGAATATTAGAAAAATATGTTTTGTGTATAAATTATGCTTGGAACGGAAATTTAATCTACTGCTACAGCATCTTACCATGTCGCATGTAGCCTTTTGGGTGGGTTCAGTATTTTCTTAAATCACCCATATCATTCTTGTGTACATTTAGAAAGCTAACAATCATAGAATTCCCCTCAATTGTACGTGACGAGCTAAGATGATATAATTTTGTCCTTCCAACGTTGTATGTGCAGCGAACTCTTCACAAACTGTCTCGATATGCTCGCTACCCTCCTCCACTCTCTCCCGACCTCGTTCCACATCTGCCTGGCCGGCAGCGGAGAAGAAGGAAAGAAAGTCTACAACGTCTGCATTAAGAAACTGAAGTCAGAACTGAGTGGCGCAAAGTCCTCGTGTCTCTCTGAGATTCAGCAGCTGTTTCCACTTGCCGAGAGACCTTTTGAGGTTTTCACCGTCAAGCAGCCGGCTCTCAACATGCCGAAAGCTCCGGAGAGAAAATTTTGGTCTGTTGGTTGTCGTGCCATACATACAGCAAAACCTCAGAATAAGGGAGACACCTTGACAACATCAGAGGGTTCCCTTAGGCTAGGTTCACAACATGTCGCATTGCCCCGTCGCACCACGCCGTGTCGCATCCTGCCGCGAAGATAGAAATGGATTTTATCCTCGCAACACGGCACAGCGCGACAGGCCAAATGTAACACATTGTGAACCTAGCCTTAGTCGGAGGTAGACACGAATGTGAGACAGAACAAAGTGTCCTTTATTCGCAGGGTCATTTTCGGAGGTTTCCATCAGAGCCAATTTTCATTTGTAAAACAGGATCTGAATTTGAAAGTGAAGAAACAATCTTTTTGTCTTCCTGCAGGGTCTCAGGATACAGGATAGCCGTGAGATTTCCCCCTGGGATATAATTGAGGGGGTCAAGAATTCCGGCCCCCTCATGCTATCGTGGTTTGGAGCGATTCGGATGAAGAGAAAGCCGCTCAAGTACGCCGAGCAGCGACGAAATGTTCACTTCCACACCCATCAGAAACGGTTCGGGGACATGGTCGGGAAACGACACTTTGTGAGTCTTCCAGATCCCGCGCCGATCTCCGATACCGTGGCTGCCAGTGGCGACGCACCTGCCCAACTGGAAACCCCGACGACCGCCACCAGCAAACTTCCCGGCGCTTCTCAGCCTTTGCAGCCTCAGGAATCCGGGCAGAGGCCTGGGGTGCCGACAGGGGTCAACCAAGTTCCTCTGAATACTGCCCCAAAGCCCGAAACATCAGCTCCGCCAATGATAATAGGACCTCGCCCCTCAATCCGTCCCCAGCAACCTCAGCAAATTTGGGGACCCCGAGGCCCCATGCAACCTAACCAACAACAGAGGATGCAGATGACACTTCGGAGGATCCAGAAAGACCAGCTGGAGCAGCAGCGAAGATTCGTACCATATGGGGGACACCCCATGGCAAGACCTTCTCACTACTCGATGATGGGTCAGATGCAGGCGCGACCGCCGCACATGGGGGCCTACGGTGGGATGAGTGCCATGCAGCAGCAGCAGCAGAGGGCCAGGCTGCAGATGCAGATGCAGATGATGACCCCCGAGCAGAGACAGATTTACATCCACCGGGTGCGCCTGAGACAGCAGCAAGCAGCGCAACAGCAGGCGGCAATGAACCCGGGAATGATGGGGGCGCCTCAGTACGGCGCTCAGTACCAACCGCAGCACCCACAGATGCAAATGCAAGCAGTGCAGCCCATACAGGTTCAGCAACAGATGCAACACGGCTACAGCCAGCAGCCGATGATGGTTCAACAGCAGCAGTATCCCCCACAGCAACCGGGAGGACCAATGAATCCCATGCAGAGACCCATGTACTAAGAATTTGCACCTTTGTCCACTTTCCCCAATTTTATGATTATGTTTAGCACCTTCAGCCTTGCATGCACTGTATGTGAACGTTGTGGTCGCGTCGCGCCTAGCGCGCGTGACCGCGCACTGTGTATGTAGGACGTGCGCATGCGTGACGCGGGAACCTAGCGCGCGTGACCGCGCACTGTGTATGTAGGACGTGCGCATGCGTGACGCGGGAACGATCGATCTTTGAGCTTTGCATGCACCAGGCGACGGTCACGTTTCGCTTGGCTATAAAAGTCGTACACGACGGGCGTCATATAATACTCACGGGGAGCTCCTCCCGCCAGTTGTACAAGGAGATGGCGGACAACCAGCAAAAGGAGGGCGCGCAGCCGGAAGAGGATGCGGGGGAGAAGTCTCCCGCCACCGTCACTATCTGCTCCCACCATTGCAGTCATCCCTACTGTGCCTGCTGCCCCGCTAAGCCGCCACCCAAACCCCAAACTAAACCGTCAACGAAAGCTGACCCCGCTCTCTCGCAAAACCGGACATGCTCCGACTTTCAGTCCGTCGCATATCAGCGAAAGCGTCCTGGCTACAGGAGAAGGAGGCTCGCTCAGAGAGCTACGACCGTGAGGTGTGGAGTTCCGTAACCCTTAGAGCCAATTTGAAGGCGTCCGTCGTCGTCCCTGCCCCGTCGCAAGCGGCGGTTGAAATCGGCGCTGATTCGGACCTATCGCGTTCTACAACCTCCGGGCGTAGGACACTAGGAAGAAGGTGTGATCAACCGTAGCGTATCTTTTCATGAGCGACCTACGACGATAGAGCGCCGCCGACGCAGCACGATGTCAAGGGTCAGTAGCAGAGAGAGCGACGGCTGGCGGCGATCGAACCTTCGCCGACAGCGTCGCTAACGCGCATTCGCGCACTCCGCCGTTCGAGGAATCGACTGAGCAAGTGGATAGTGGATATAAAGTGTACAAGATAAGATAGGGGCTAAGCTCGATTAGCAATCTCGCGAGACTTTATCAGCACGCATCAAACGACTGAGAAAGAGGGTTGATCCTCTTTATGCGACCAATTGTGCGAAGTCACTTCAAAATCACCCACTACGTCAGCACAATGTGAGCTCGGGGTCCTTAGTGAGTATTCCGTCTTTAGTGAGACAGATTCAACTCATCTATTGGAGGAGCGGTGTTCTGGCTGTGAGAAGATCGTCCACACTCAGCGCTCTGGCAACCGCAGTTCGCACAGGGTCCGTAGGCTTCGGAAGTGAAGCTGATGAGCGGCAAGATCTCCGACGTAAAGTGGGTCGAGGGACGCACGACGAGGCTAGGCAGTTGTGTGGGGAGTCAGAGTCCAGCCGATACACACACTAGTCAAGAAGATCCTACCTCCAAGTTACCTACAGTGTCTCTCAACCAACAAATAGACGAAGCAAAGAGACCACCAGTAGTGAGTTAACGTTGTAAAGGGATTTGTGTCGGTTATACATTAAATGTTACAGACGGAACTGAAAACATAGGGCCCATTGTGAAAGGTTTCTGTTTTAGTAACATTAGCCCTGTTTACTGCCACAGTTACGTTTTTAAAAAAATTATGTCGGATGAATTTTTGCGCTGGTCCGTTTCCTTGTGGCATTTGGAACAGGGCATCAAGAGCGTACTGGACGGTCGATGGAAACTATGGCATTATGAGTACGCGACACGAGGATGCTTCTCCCATTCGTTGTCATGCCGTACCGACAACAGCCTATCATCTCACATTGCCTACCGACACGGAGCCTCCAGAAAAACTGGGCGCGACATGACAGAAAACCATGCACGCTACCCGCGACGCGATGTGTCTCTATATCGGAACAACTCGGACCGCTCCGTCTTGTGTACACGTCTCGGAGCGGAGCCGAATCGCTGCTGTTCGGGAGAGTGCAAATGAGACGCGATCAATCGACACACGGTGGGCGCAGGGAGACGACAGTGTTTCATCAAACTGTGCACGTAGGAGGACGTGAAGAGGGATGGTACATGGGCATGCGTCAGCGCAGGAAGAGAAGAGATCAATGGGTTTCAGCATGTGTTCCACGCCGTAGGGTGCTCACAACGAACAGAACAAGTTCAGGGTTTCCGTCGTCTCCCGTGTCATCGACAATCTACGCTGGGGCCAGGACAGCAGTTTCAAACCCATCAAAGGCTCTGACTTCCGAGACGCTGCTGACCACGCTGCGAATATAGGGGTGTCTACAAGTCACGCACGAGCCCTCAAACCACAACACTCCACCAGTCGTCTAAGACTATCTTACTAGAACTCTCGTGCATAGAATATTACTTTTCTCAGAAACCGTTTGTAAACCAAACCCTTGTAGGCATGTGTATGTCAAGTATTACAGCGTCTAAGTTTCTATAGTGACAAAGCCATGAAAAGAAAAGACCCAGAGCTAAAGGCAGAAAAATGCTAATGAAACAACTAAAAAACCTCTAGCAATCCGAACTCAGTTGCTGATTCAACATAGCTAGCTACGAGAATCTTGATTTGTAAGCCACCTGACTATGATGATGCTCCCCCTCCCTGCTGGTGTCAGTTAGTTATATACCTTACAGGCGAGTAGGCGGGGGTGTTAAATTTTGTCGCCACATCCTGTGTTCGCGTCCCAGCAGGGGGCACGACAAGTATCTGTACATCTCCTGTCAACAGCTGGATGTGTGTTGTCTTCTCCCTACCTAGCTACGAGCTGCTCATATTCTCGCGAACCAGCAATAATAGTTAGGAAAATGGCAGACAAGAGCAATGAAGCTACACAGCCACAAACCAAGCCTGGAGATGCGCCGACGACTTCGACGGCCACCGCCGCAGCTGCGGCACCACCAGCCCCGTCCGCCACCACCCAGGGAGGTGTCACCATTTCGAACTGCTCACACCACTGCAATCATCCCAACTGCTGCCCGCCGGTAAAGCCACCGGCCAAAAAGAAAGTGGTCCTGGTGAAGAAAGCCGTACCCGTTCTCACGAGCGCCGAGATCGACCGTATGATCGACCTCGGTTTGGGGAGGGGGGTAGATGCCACGAATTCGAAGCCCTGGGCCAACAAGAGTGCGTTTCAAGTCCGTCGCGTGACGGCGGAAGGCGTCCTGGGCACAGAGGAAGGGGGATCGCTGCAGGAGTTACGAGAGGGAAGTATCGAGCGTCGTGTCACACCAGACCAACATGAAGGCCTCCGTCATCGTCCCACAAGCGCCGGTTGAAATCGGTATGGACGCGGAGCAATCGCGTTCCGTCAGCTCAACGCGTAGGACGCTGGGTAGGAAAGTGGTCAACCGTAGCGTATCCTTTCTGAGCGACTTCAGCGACGTACCTGTTGTGAGTGACGAACGGAGAGATGCTTTTTTGGATAGAACGAGGGGTAAAAGAAGACTAGAGCAGCCAAAATCATTCACAGAGTCCTTGGATGGTGCACAAGGTGCCTTAGAAGACGACAGTAGTGTGGCGGATGTTCAGCACGAGTTCATGACATTTGAGCAACGCTGAGCAAGTGGATAGTGAAGAGGATACTGGTGCGGCAGGAACTGACGGCTCAAGAGCTAAGGGCGGCTGGGAAACCGGTGGGCGAGCCGAAATTTGTCGTCGATAACAGCTCCTCTACTGAAATGCTTGCGCTATTGTGTACATATCAAATGAGGAGGAAAGGAAAAAGATCATTCACGATTGCTACGACTTTGTCAAGAACTTCAGGATCACCCACTACGTCAGCACAATTGAGCTTGGGGCCATGGAGTACCGTGTCTTCAGCGAGACGGATTTTAACTCAACGATTGGAGCCGGTGGTACCTTAGGCATTGAGAAACTTGTCAATCTAAGTCTGTCCCACAAGCGAACCTCTAGACGTTTCCGGAAGGCTTCGGATGTCTTCAAATCGGGAAGATTACGGCTGAAGGTAGAGTGGGTCGGGGGACCCACGATGAAGCAGTTGTGGGGATCAGGGTTCAGCCGATATCAACCTTAGTCAAACTCCCCTACCTTCAACTGGCACTGCAGAGGTCTCTGTTCCACTATATGGAGGAGCAAGGAGACACAAGTTGTAAGTTGGAATCTTCATCATATTCCACAATGGAAGGCATCACTAATACACGATTAGTCTTTGATTACCGCATGTCACAGAAACCCACTTAAGAATAGGTCACTAATTAAACGTGGTTAGTTTAAAACCTGCCGCCTGATTCATTAGCATGGCAGCAAGCATGCACAGGAAGCCATGCTACCCTAGACCATCCATTGCCTAACAAGGAATGTGTGTAGTAGTGCATACCACGTTTAACCCCCATTTCCTAAATTGCTCGGTGTACAAACGTTGAGTATATAGGCTTCAGCTTTGTCATAGAGCACCATTGAACTAACTCTATGAAAATTCCTGTTTTCTCTTCCTATAGCTGGTCCATTCCTGGTGGCATTTGGATCGGAGCGCTCCCTTCGCTACTGGACAGTCAACGAAAACTACGAAATCTACGGCACAAGCAACCCCCAAAATGCCTCTCTCTTCTTCATCATCTCTAGCGACAGTGGTCAACATCCGCACGAGTTCCACATTGCATACAAGGGGGATAACCGACACGTGCTGAAGAAGCGAGTGAGCTCCCTAACCCCATTCTCGCAGAGAACAGTGGAAGCAATTCCGCGGTACCTCGATGCTGTGGTGTCTATATTTGGGTCGAATCCAGGCCCATTGCAGCTTGTGTACCACGTCTCTGAGCGGAGTAGGCTGCTGTTGTACAGGAGAATTGCTAACGAGAAGGGGCCAATCAGTCTGTCTACTTGGACGCAGGGAGACGACGTGTTTTTCATCAACTGTGCACGGCGGAGTATGAAGAGGGATGGGTACATAGGCATGAGGCGGCGCAGGAGGAGCGGAGAAGTTGAGTGGGTTTCAGCGTGTTTTCCAACCCGTAGTAGTCACGACGACCAAAGAAAGTTCATGCTCTTCCGTCTTCTTCCAGCGTCGTTGAGATGTGACCCCGGCCTCCTTCCGCTGAGCCTGACAGCAACGCAGGTCCAACTAGTTTCAGTGAACCCCCAAACCCGTTTGAAGAGTGGGACGCATCCGAGTCGCTAGACGAACGGCTGGGAAGATACGGTCGAGGTTCAGTACCCGAAGCATTCCGTGCACCCCCTTCCCCCCTCCTGTCCAGAAGTGTCCACAAAGAACCTGTCTCGTCCCCTGACAGTGAAAGAGACACGCTCACAGTACCTGAGCTCACAGATCTTCGTTCCCACTAGTGGGCTCAGGCCAGCCAGCAGCAGAAGCTACATCAAGAGTCTGAGAACCCTTTACGAAAGACTGGAACTTATCTGTCATTATTCATAATTCATGAACTATACATACCACATTTATTGTCTTAGCTTTCGTATCAGCAAGGTCATGCTTTCTCTCACTACGCTGGCTGGACGAACAACAGCAGCAGTGGGTGGCAGATGCATACCTGCCACTTGTAGGCGTGGCCTGCTCGTGGGTCGATCGTACTAGCTGTCTAGCTTTCTCCCTGAAGTCGAGCGGCGCGCCAGACGTCAGGAGCCGGCGAATAGGACGAAGAAGGTTTCCAGGTGAGTCAGATCCATGCCGATTTCTTGGTTAGTCCCGAGGCCAGTTGTCTTTAGTTTCGCCCACACCGTAGGCAGCGGCGACGTCTGTACTGTGCGGTGAAGTTGCTGTAGATAACGATGGAAATGTGGCTTTAGGTAATAGGCATGCACAGAATGTACATTTTCGCTGTTTCAGGTGCGCTGTATTACAACAAGGTGTGAACATAATAGTGCTTGCAACATCACCACATTCTTTTTATATACCTAGATACGTAATTATTTGGTTATACCTGAGCCTATACAGGTCAATCGCGCCACATCACTAAGCTAAGCAGATTCTATCTTTAGTGTGGGTATAATCATGGAGTTCTCTGCACAGTGTGTGCCATTACTCAGAACAGCATGTACATATTGCAGCCACGCAGTGTGAGTGTCAGACTTGATCTCTGTGGTCAATTGCATCTGGGTTGTCTGGTAGTCCATATTTGAAGAGAATGCGGGTGTATCCTTGGTAGCGCAGTGTTGGTATTGTATGATTGTAGCCGAGTATCAGTACAGTAGGTAGTACAGTATGTATATACACTGTACTTACATGGATGGCCTTGTTTATTTGGAGGGTGCAAGCAATTCTGTGTATACGTCACACTTTGTTTTCTGTTCTGAATTCTGTGTATATACTTTCTCTTTATAGTTTCCCACTAGCGCAGCTGCTTCCTATTTATCGGCTTCACCATGGCAACCGCCCAACCCAGTACCATTCTTCCCGCGAGCGAACAGCCTAGGAGTGCAACACTTTCTCGTACATCACCAACTTCCTCTCCTCGTTTGTCCTCTCGTGGTTTACCGAGAATGCCTCAGGAATCCGGGCAGAGGCCTGGGGTGCCGACAGGGGTCAACCAAGTTCCTCTGAACACTGCCCCAAAGCCTGAAACATCAGCTCCGCCAATGGTAATGGGACCTCGCCCCACAATCCGTCCCCAGCAACCTCAGCAAATTTGGGGACCCCGAGGCCCCATGCAACCTAACCAACAACAGAGGATGCAGATGACACTTCGGAGGATCCAGAAAGACCAGCTGTGAGCAGCAGCGAAGAGTTTCGTACCATATGCGGGGACACCCCATGGCAAGACCTTCTCACTACTCGATGATGGGTCATGATGCAGGCGCGACCGCCGCACATGGGGGCCTACGGTGGGATGAGTGCCATGCAGCAGCAGCAGCAGAGGGCCAGGCTGCAGATGCAGATGCAGATGATGACCCCCGAGCAGAGACAGATTTACCGATCACCACCGGGTGCGCCTGAGACAGCAGCAAGCAGCGCGAACAGCAGGCGGCAATGAACCCGCGGAATGATGGGGGCGCCTCAGTACGGCGCTCAGTACCAACCGCAGCACCAACAGATGCAAATGCAGAGCAGTGCAGCCCAGGCAGGTTCAGCAACAGATGCAACACGGCTACAGCACAGCAGCGATGATGGTTCACAGCAGCAGTATCCCCAAGCAAACCGGGAGGGAGACCAAGAATCCCATGCAGAGACCCATGTACTAGAAATTATGCACCTTTGTCCACTTTTCCCAATTTATGATTATGTTTAGCACCTTCAACCTTGCATGCACTGTATGTGAACGTTGTGGTCGCGTCGCGCCTAGCGCGCGTGACCGCGCACTGTGTATGTAGGACGTGCGCATGCGTGACGCGGGAACGATCGATCTTTGAGCTTTGCATGCACCAGGCGACGGTCACGTTTCGCTTGGCTATAAAAGTCGTACACAGACGGGCGTCAGTATAGATACTCACGGGGAGCTCCTCCCGCCAGTTGTACAAGGAGATGGCGGACACCAGCAAAGGAGGGCGCGCAGCCGAAAGAGGATGCGGGGGAGAAGTCTCCCGCCACCGTCACTATCTGCTCCCACCATTGCAGTCATCCCTACTGTGCCTGCTGCCCCGCTAAGCCGCCACCCAAACCCCAAACTAAACCGTCAACGAAAGCTGACCCCGCTCTAGAAAAACGCGACATGCTCCGCATGGTCGACTTAGGTCTCGGGCGGGGAATAGACGCGACGGACCCGAAGCCGTGGGGGCCAACAAAAGCGCTTTTCAAGTCCGTCGCATATCAGCGAAAAGCGTCCTGGCTACGGAAGAAGGAGGCTCGCTGCAGAGCTACGACCGTGAGGTGTGGAGTTCCGTAACCCTTAGAGCCAATTTGAAGGCGTCCGTCGTCGTCCCTGCCCCGTCGCAAGCGCCGGTTGAAATCGGCGCTGATTCGGACCTATCGCGTTCTACAACCTCCGGGCGTAGGACACTAGGGAAGAAGGTGATCAACCGTAGCGTATCTTTCATGAGCGACCACGACGATAAGAGTGCCGACGACGGCGACGATAAAAAGCCGGAGAGCGACGGCGGCGGCGATCGACCTTTCGCCGACAGCGTCGCTAACGCGCATTTCGCACTCCCGCCGTTCGAGGAACGACTGAGCAAGTGGATAGTGGATAAAATTGTACAAGATAAGGGGGCTAAGCTCGATTGCAATCTCGAGGACTTTATCAGCAAATCAAACGAAAAGGAAAAGAGGTTGATCCTTCTTTTATGCGACCAATTTGTCAAGCACTTCAAAATCACCCACTACGTCAGCACAATTGAGCTCGGGGCCTTAGAGTATTCCGTCTTTAGTGAGACAGAATTCAACTCATCTATTGGAGGAGGGGGTGTTCTGGGTGTTGAGAAGATCGCCACACTCAGCGTCTCTGGCAACCGCAGCTCGCACAGGTTCCGGAAGGCTTCGGAAGTGAAGATGATCGGCAAGATCTCTGACGGTAAAGTGGGTCGAGGGACGCACGACGAGGCAGTTGTGGGAGTCAGAGTCTCAGCCGATACACACACTAGTCAAGAAGATCCCCTACCTCCAAGTTGCCCTACAGTGGTCTCTCAACAACTACATAGACGAGCAAAGAGACATCAGTAGTGAGTTAACGTTGTTAAAGGGATTTGTGTCGGTACATACATTTAAATGTTACAAGACGGAACTAAACCATAGGGCCCATTGTGAAAGGTTTCTGTTTTAGTAACATTAGCCCTGTTTTACTGCCACAGTTACGTATAATTATGTCGGTGAATTTTTTGCAGCTGGTCCGTTCCTTGTGGCATTTGGAACAGGGGATCAAGAGCGGTACTGGAAGGTCGATGGAAACTATGGCATTATTGGTACCAGCGACACCGAGGATGCTTCTCCCTTCTTTGTCATGCCTTACGACAACAGCCATCATCCACATTGCCTACATGGGGGACAACGGAGCCTCCAGAAAACTGGGCGCCATGACCCAGAAAACCATTCCACGCTACCTCGACGCAGATGTGTCTCTATTCGGAACCAACTCGGGACCGCTCCGTCTTGTGTACCACGTCTCTGAGCGGAGCCGACTCCTGCTGTTCGGGAGAGTTGCAAATGAGAAGGGGCCGATCAATCCGACAATGTGGGCGCAGGGAGACGACATGTTTTTCATCAACTGTGCACGTAGGAGGATGAAGAGGGATGGGTACATTGGCATGCGTCAGCGCAGAAGAGATCAATGGGTTTCAGCATGTTTTCCACGACGTGGTGCTCACAACGAACAGAACAAGTTCATGGTTTCCGTCTTCTCCCTGTGTCATCTAAATCTAACTCTGGGCCAAGGACAGCAGTTCTAAACCCATTCAAAGGCTTTGACATTCCTAGAACGCTTGATGACCAGCTTGAGAAATATGGGGTGTCTACCAAGTAACGGCACCGAGCCCTCAAACCACAACACTCCACCAGTAGTCTAAGAACTATCTTACTAAGAACTATAGTGCATAAATAATAACTTTTATCAGAACCGTTTTTGTAAAAAATAAAATGTAGGCTATGTTGTATGTCAAGTATTACAGCTTTCTAAGTTTCTATAGCTGACAAAGCCATGAAAACGAAAAGACCCCAGAGCTAAAGGCAGAAAAATGCTAATGAGATGACTAATTTTTAACAGAACCGTTGTATACAAAACCTCCAGCAATCTAAACTGTCAGTTGCTGATTCAACATAATTATAGAGAATATTGATTTGATTCACATTAGTAAGCCACCTGACTATGATGCGAAACATCTTATGCAAAAAATGATGTTCTCGCCCTGCTGGTGTCACAGCAGGAAGTGTCTCGAAACGGCGAGGGGGCGGGGGTGTTAAATTTTGTCGTCACATCCCGCGCGAACCCTTAGTCTAGGAAAATGGCAGACAAGAGCAATGAAGCTAGACAGCCACCAACCAAGCCTGGAGATGCGCCGACGACTTCGACGGCCACCGCCGCAGCAGCGGCACCACCAGCTCCGTCCGCCGCCACCCAGGGAGGTGTTACCATTTCGAACTCCTCACACCACTGCAATCACTGCTGCCCGCCGGTAAAGCCACCGGCCAAAAAGAAAGTGGTCCTGGTGAAGAAAGCCGTGCCCGTTCTCACGAACGCCGAGATCGACCGTATGATCGACCTCGGTTTGGGGAGGGGGATAGATGCCCGATTCGAAGCCCTGGGCCAACAGAGTGCGTTCAAGTCGTCCTTAGCGTGACGGCGGAAGGCGCTCTGGGGCACAGAGGAGGGGGATCGCTGCGAGTTACGAGAGGGAGGTATCGAGCGTCGTATCTCACCAGACAACATGAAGGCCTCCGTCATCGTCCCACAAGCGCCGGTTGAAATCGGTATGGACGCGGAGCAATCGCGTTCCGTCAGCTCAACGCGTAGGACGCTGGGTAAGAAAGTGGTCAACCGTTAGCGTATCCTTCCTTTCCTTCTGAGCGACTTCAGCGACCCGTACCTGTGTGAGTGACGAACGGAGAGATGCTTTTTGGAGGTTAGAACGAGGGGTAAAAGAAGACTAGCGCAGCCAAAATCATTCACAGAGTCCTTGGATGGTGCACAACAAGATGCCTCAAAAGACGACAGTAGTGTGGCGGACGTTCAGCGCGAGTTCCTGACATTTGAGCAACGACTGAGCAAGTGGATAGTGAAGAGGATACTGGTGCGGCAGGAACTGACGGCTCAAGAGCTAAGGGCGGCTGGGAAACCAGTGGGCGAGCCAAAATTTGTAGTCGATAACAGCTCCTCTATCAATCCTTCTGAAACGCTTTCGCTATTTGTGTACATATCAAATGAGGAGGAAAGGAAAAGATCATCCACGATTGCTACGAACTTGTCATCAAGAACTCAGATCACCACTACGTCAGCACAATTGAGCTTGAGGCCAGGGAGTACCGTGTCTCAGCGAGACGGATGTTAACTCAACGATATGGTAGCCGGTGGTACCTTAGGCATTGAGAAATTGTCAATCTAATGTCTGTGTCCCACAAGACGAACCTCTAGACGTTCCGGAAGGCCTTCGGATGTCAAGACAATCGGGAAGATTACGGCTGAGGTAGAGTGGGTCGGGGGACCCACGATGAAGCAGTTGTGGGGATACGTGTCAGCCGATATCAACCTTAGTCAAACTCCCCTACCTTCAACTGGCACTGCAGAGGTCTCTGTTCCACTATATGGAGAGCAAGGAGACACAAGTTGTAAGTTGGAATCTTCATCAAATCCACAACGGAAGGCATCACTAATACACAAGATTAGTCTTTGATACCGCATGTCACAGAACCCACTTAAGAATAGGTCAACTAATTAAGTGGTTAGTTAAAACCTGCCGCCCTGATTCATTAGCATGCAGCAAGCATGCACAGGAAGCCATGCTACCCTAGACATCCATCTTGTGCCTGAATGCCAAAACAAGGAATGTGTGTAGTAGGGCATACACACGTTTAACCCCCATCTAAATTGCTCGGGTACACACACGTATATAGGCTAAGCTTTGTCATAGAGCACCATTGAACTAACTCTATGAAAATTCCGTTTCTCTTTCCTATAGCTGGTCCTTCCTGTGGCATTTGGATGGAGCGCTCCTTCGCTACTGGACAGTCAACGAAAACTACGAAATCTACGGCACAAGCACCCCAAAAATGCCTCTGTCTTCTTCATCATCTCTACGACAGTGGTCAATCCGCACGAGTTCCACATCGCATACAAAGGGGATACCAACACGTGCTGAAGAAGCGAGTGAGCTCACAACCCCATTCTCGCAGAGAGCGTGGAAGCAATTCCGCGGTACCTCGTGCTGGGTGGTGTCTATATTTGGGTCGACATCCAGGCCATGCAGCTTGGCACCACGTCTCTGAGAGGAGACGTAGGCTGTGTGTGTACGGGAGAAATTGCTAACGAGAAGGGGCCATCAGTCCGTCTACTTGGACGCAGGGAGACGACGTGTTTTTCATCAACTGTGCACGGCGGAGGATGAAGAGGGATGGGTACATAGGCATGAGGCGGCGCAGGAGGAGCGGAGAAGTTGAGTGGGTTTCAGCGTGTTTTCCAACCCGTAGTAGTCACGACGACCAAAGAAAGTTCATGCTCTTCCGTCTTCTTCCAGCGTCGTTGAGATGTGACCCCGGCCTCCTTCCCGCTGAGCATGACAACAAAGCAGGTCCAACTAGTTTCAGTGAACCCCCAAACCCGTTTGAAGAGTGGGACGCATCCGAGTCGCTAGACGAACGGCTGGGAAGATACGGTCGAGGTTCAGTACCCGAAGCATTCCGTGCACCCCCTTCCCCCTTCCTGTCCAGAAGTGTCCGCAAAGAACCTGTCTCGTCCCCTGACAGTGAAAGAGACGCGCTCACAGTACCTGAGCTCACAAATCTTCATTTCCCACTAGTGGGCTCAGGCCAGCCAGCAGCAGAAGCTACATCAAGAGTCTGAGAACCCTTTACGAAAGACTGGAACTTCATAGTTATAATCCGTAATTATTCATAATTCATGAACTGTATATACCACATGTTTAGCAGCAAGGTCATGCTTTCTCTCACTATATTATATATATATACGCTGGCTGGACAATCAACTGCAGCGGGTCCGGTGGGCGGCAGATATACCTGAGCAAATTGCATTCCACTTGTAGGCGTGGCCTGCGCGTGTGGGGCCGATCTGTAGCTTCTCCCCGAAGTCGAGCGGCGCGGCAGACGTCAGGAGCCGGCGAATGGGACGAAGAAGGTTTCCAGGTGAGTCAGATCCATGCCGATTTCTTGGTTAGTCCCGAGGCCAGTTGTCTTTAGTTTCGCCCGCACCGCTAGGCAGCGGAGACGTCGGTGAAGGTGCTGTAGATAACGATGGAAATGTGGCTTTAGGTAATAGGTATGCACAGAATATACATTTTCGCTGTTTCAGGTGTGCTGTATTACAACAAGGTGTGAACATAATAGTGCTTGCAACATCACCACATTCTTTTTACCTAGATACGTAATTATTTGGTTACAATCGCGTCACATCACTAAGCTAAGCAGATTCTATGTTTAGTGTGGGTATGATCATGGAGTTCTCTGCACAGTGTGTGCCATTACTCAGAACAGCATGTACATACACACAGTTGGAGTGTCAGACTCGATCTCTGTGGTCAGTTGCGTCTGGGTTGTCTGGTAGTCCATATTTGAAGAGAATGCGGTTGTATCCTTGGTAGCGCAGTGTTTGGTATTGTATGATTGTAGTGAGTATCAATAAGTACAGTAGGTAGTACAGTATGTATGTACACTGTACTTACATAGATGGCCTTCACTTTGTTTATTTGGAGGGTCCAAGCAATTTTGTGTATACTTCACACTCTGTTTTCTGTACTGAATTCTGTGTATATACTTTCTCTTTGTAGTTTCCCACTAGCGCAGCTGTTTCCTATTTATCGGCTTCACCATGGCAACTGCCCAACCCAGTACCATTCTTCCCGCGAGCGAACAGCCTAGGAATGCAACACTTTCTCATACATCACCAACTTCCTCTCCTCGTTTGTCCTCTCGTGGTGTACCGAGAATGTTGCCTCGTATAATCGGCCGAAGAATGGTTGCTTCTCATGTGGGTGAGACAAGCACATCGAGCACGCCATATTACCACAGCTTCAAGGAGGGTCACTGGCTCGGGCAACTCTTAGTGGAGCTCACCACGAAAGACTCAGAGATAGCCAACCTATTGAGGCTGAATCAGGGGCAGCACATCTCAAAGGTGCTCTTACAGCAGCTCGAGAAAAAGCAAGAGCTAATCAACTCGTACCGTGAGTTTTTGGAATCGCTGGTCTCTCTTGTCGCCCAGTCAGTGTTCTTGAAGAATCCGGGGTTGGTGACCAACAGGCATGATCCCCATGGAATCATGCAGGACCTCTCCACTAAGAAATGTCCGAACCTAAACATATTCTGTCGTTTGGTCATTGAGCCTTCCCTCACTGCAAGCCCCAAACCAGACACGGTAACATCTCAACGATACAACGGCGTTCCTGTCAACCAGCTTGCTAGGTTCTGTGATGTTGCAGTGCTCAAGTTTCTAGATGGAGTCACAGAGCAAACAAAGCCACAGGCTGCTCAGTGGGCCATAGATTACATCAGTAGTCTTCTTAACTCCCTTCTCTCTTCCATTGCCAGTCATAGCTCCACTGGTTGGTACGGAGCGCCCTCTACTCGACAGAAGAAGACGGTCAGCGTCAATATTCCTCCCTCATTCCTTTTAGCCACTCCACCTACTGTGGTTGTGGTTGCTAGCCCACCTCCACTCGATCCTGAAACAGGGCAAGTTAGAGGTGGTTCGGCCGCTTTCCATTTCCCTCCACAGTCTCATCGTAGCCCCGAAGAAGACTCGCGTCTCTCTCCACATGCCAGCGGCTCAGATTCCCATCTGTCTGAAAGTGGGGACAGCTTGGGGTCAACGGTAGACAGAAAGTCATCTCCAACAGATATGACTATCTCTCCAACCTGGTCAAACAGCAGTAGCCCCATGCTCTCCCCGCAGCACACCAGGAGGGGTTTTGGTGACAGCTTGTCCGAGGGAGGAGAGCAGGGGTTGTTGGGGAGTGGGTTTCGACCAAGGTCCCCGAGACTGGCCGATTTGAAGCTCAGTCAGCACCCTTCTATCCCGGAGGAAGAGGAGGAAGATGGAGGTAAGGCTACGGGGACTTCAGGGAGTGTGAGAGTTGAAACAGAGCCTGAAGAAAGTCAAAGAGACGATGGGAGTGGGGACAAAGAGGAAGAATGTGAAGATGAAAAAGAGGGGGCAGATGGTGGGGAAGATGAAGAAGATAAGGTCAGATCGAAGCCAACAGCAGCAGCTAAGACAGTTCCTGATGTTGACATCAAGGCAGAACTTCAGCTATACATCAACGCCGAGGGTAGAATCAGCCTTATTGCAATTCTACAGGCAATCGCCCGCCTGCCACAATCGGATGTAATCTGGACCGAGCGATTTGGAATGAACTGCTTCCAACTTATCCAGCACTGCATGGACTTGGGGCTGGCGCAGAGTTCCAAGTTAGGCAAGTCTTCATCGTCTATGAAGAGACAGAGATTTCAAAAGCAGGAGAACACTGCTTTCCTCGCACATGGGAGCGAGCAGCCGTGCCAGGTACACGGCAGGTACGTAGTCCACTATGCCGTCCGTGCACTTATACAGTGTGCCACAAACCTCCTTATCGGCTGCTCCCATGACACACAACAGACCTGCTGGCTTGCCTACAAACGAGTCGGGTCTCAGAACAACCTGATACATCCAAGGCTTCTGCGGCAGCTGAACCGAATCCACTGCCACTCTCCGCAAGAGTTCCAGCGAGCAATGCTTCATTTTTCCTCCACTGCCCCCCTTCGAAAGATCCTCCATTTTCTCCACGTGGTGCTGGAATATTGCCAAATGACCTCCGCCGAAAAGGTTGACTCTCTTCTTCTCTTGGTTGTTTCTTCCGTTTTCCGAGCTCTTGTGGATCGTCTTGCACAGCTTGATCTCTCAAAACCTTCTTTACAAGAGGTAAGTTGCCCTTTATTGTGGTTAATCGATACATTTGTTTTCATAATGGTTTCACTCTTCCTCTCTTACTCAGAGTTTGGTTTCGGATGTCTGCCTGTTCATTCAGTACGCACAGGCCCTATTCAACTTTCACCCACAACTCAGTAGCTACAGGCACTTCCACATGTACATACATCGCGTGGCTCTGTCTGTTATTCTCCCTCAACAAGAACCCAAGAGCGAGCCTTCGTCGGACTCCATTTTCCAGCCGTTTCCTGCCATCCTTGAAGAGGATGATCTGCAACTACGCGATGCGCTCGCCTCTTCTGCAACGCCTGAATCTCACGGATTGCCGGAGAGGGGGTCAAAAGTCACCCAGAGCCTTCCTCGCAAGCTAAAGCAGAAGACGTCTGAGGAGAAATCACGCCCACGTTCAAGCATTCAATCTGATCACATTGTCGTAACAAAGAGCCCTAAAGCTCAACGGAGGAACCTGTTTACAAAGCAGCACAGTATTCACGAGAGGGAAGACAGCTCCCTAACCCTACAAGACGTTGGCGGGTTTGAGGTATGTACAATATATATACGTATGTAGCTGTGTGTGGGTGCATTGTACCTATATACGCACAATGTGCTACCAAATGTGGCTGAAAAAGCACACTATTCCATATAGGTGTCTGGAGGCATGGAGGAGTGGAGGAGGCTGAAATTGAAAGTGCTGCGACAGAGAATACAAAGGCTGGTTGTGTTGATGGATCTGTCTGAGCCCGGTACTGTCCCTGATCCTGGAATGCTGGCATCTCTCATAGACCTGGTTTGTAGTATATACTAGAACGAACACATTTTTGGCAAGCAGAGTGACCTTTTAACCACTGTAAATGTCCGTGCAAGGTGCATGATCAGTCATTCTATAGGAAAAACACTCAATTCAGACAACTAGGTGGGTTCACTTCGTGTGTGTAGACGTACATATACATGTGCATGCGCATGTGAGTGAGTTGATTTTTTTTGGTGTAGAGTGATGGAGCGCTGGTTGTTGCAAGAGCGATGGTTATCCTGGAGTGTGCTCTATTTGTCCGGAAGATAAGGAGGAAGGACGGTTCTAGCTCCTCCCACTGGCTGCGCAATAGGCAAGAAGGCCATCACCGCATTGCCATCAACTTCAAGCGGTGGGCAGTGGCCATCGGAGAGAAACTGAGAATCATTGAACTGCGGGAACGAGACAAAATCCAGCAGCTACAGAGGAGAGCCGGGGGGAGATCACAGTCAATTGTCTTGCCAGAAGAACCTGTTTTACCGGACAGTCCCGCTGAGCCAGACAAGCAAGACGACAAGGGAAACAGAAAATTTCAAACCGTTTCCTTCAGCATAAAGATGTGTACATGCGTCCTCCTCTATGAGATCACCCACTATCTCCGTGACAATGTCACCACGGGATCAGCACTTCTTGGAACGCCTCGCGTGAGCATTACCAATATTGACAGTGGCCGACGGCCGTCGTTAATTAGCACTACATCAACGGACACCGAAGCCGTAGTTACACCCGGAGCCACGGGGCACGATTCGAAAATGCTGGGTATGACTCGCCACCGGCTTACCCCAGATATCAGGTCCAGCAGCCTCGAAGGCGAGACTGTTCACGGCATCCACAGTCCATCTCTCAGTGGAGCATCATTCGAAGGGGAGCAACCTCCTGAATCTCCACGCAAGAGAGTTTCAGTTTACTTACGAGTGAATAGTGCGACTGAGCAGAGGGATCAACAGCGAGGGAGAGTCAACTCTGGTTTGAAGCAAACCATCAACATTACGTCCACCGGGGACGCATCACCGAAACAGCAAAAGCGAAGGTCTTCAGTTTCAGTTTCAGTCGGTCGGAGACACGTTTCCTTCTACGAGAAGCGGCCAGATGAGAGCCCAGTCAAAACTAGTCGAACATCCGCTGTGACTGTCAGTCATCTACGACCAGTTCCTGGCCGTGCCACAGTCAAAGCTTCACTTTCTTTCCAGGAGACTCCCCCACCAGAATCACTCGGTCTCTCTGACTCCTTTCGTCGACCAAAGCTCCAGTCACAGGGCTCCACCGCCTCGCAGAAGAATTACAATCTCGGCTCTCAGATCCAGAGTGGGATATCACGGCTTGCAAGGCGAGCATTCAGGGGGAGGATCCAGAGGAAGACCGCAGTCGGAGCAAGAAAGTCAAGTCTTGCCGGAAGCAGCCCGACTCTTGTCCAACGAAAAAGGCCGCAGAGACTAAGCACCGCCGGATTTGCTCTAGGGATGGAGGATGACAGACAGCACTTTCCCTGGCTTGAAATCGTTGAGCACTTAGTTGTCGTCGACGCCCTCAACCCTGACTCGCATGCTCGCCACTCGCAGGCCTGCGCAGAGCTAGTGACTGCTCTCAATCATGTCTATGGTATCAAAGAGGGTGGCAAAGAGGAAGCACGGGGACCTAGCCTCAGCTCCCTGTTTTCTGGTGTCTTGGATCCTTTCATTCAAGTGAGAGAGCAAGGTCTTGATAATAGCAGAGGGACTAATCTTCGGAGGACGGGAAAGCACAAACCACCACGTAGCGTCTCTACGTCTGTGTTTTCTTCTCAGTCGACAGCAGCATCGAGTGTAGTCAGCTCCCAATCCATGGCCTCACTCGACTTCTCGCTAATAAAACGGGGCCTATTTCTGTCTCATTCCTTGGGCCAGTATACTGCAATAGAGCTCTTTCTCGAACAAGATACAGAGCGCCCTGAAACGAAAATGGATGCAGGATTCAGCCGTGCGAGAAGGAGCTACATGCAACAGAGCTTTGCTGGACTCATGCATGCGCCCCTCTCCCTACTGGTCTACACAGCTCCTCTGCTCTCTTCCTCCTCTTTCAGTTCCCTCAAGGACATGGCATGGGGAATGATCTTGGACAGGAACCAGGAGCTAGCCCAAGCTGCCGGTAAGAAGGAGCGTATTCTAGCTATGTATGTGCATGTGTGGCGCTACCAGTCCTGCGTGTTTGCATGTCATCTCTTTCTTCTTTCTGACTTACAATACGTTGCATTGACCTGTCGCGCTGTGCCGCATCGCTTGGTGCCACGAAGATAGAAATGGATTCTCTCATGGCAACGCGGCAAAGCGGCAAGACACGACGGGGCAATGCGATATAATATTGTGAACCTAGTCTTAGTCTGACCTTGTATCTCCACACGCATACGAGTTAGTTCAGACTCTACGCCATTGAGTATCCGTGCTACATAGTTTCAATGTTGCTCCCTGTAGGAATGTTCTTCCTTCTAGCTGCTGCCAGGGAAGGGGAAAATGCGATGAAAGAGTTTTTTGGCAACAAAGTCGAGACTGAGTCCCTAGAGAAGCAGAGGGAAGCAGTGATGAGGTTTATGGTGCTCTGGAAGGTTCGGTACAAAGTGTGGCCAGCTATAGGAGAACGAGGGCAGAAGAGGTTCAACTCAGAGAGAGCAGCCGAAGAGCGACAGGTATTTCCCGTTCTCTTCTTGTTGGGTTTACACCAACTTATCACTTAGTACGGTAGTACTTAGTATGAATGGGCATGGTATGTATATACCTAGCATCATAGATGGGGCTATGATAAGGAGTTTTGTTCATCCTCTGTGTGTTGGTATCTGACAGGACCAGCAGACCATTGGCTACTCGCTACCCACCAACCTCCTAGGCTCAGCTGGTAGAGAGGTGCCTGTCCCTCCATGGAAAGCCCTTTCTCTATGCATCCACGACGACTGCCAAGCTAACCCTGACAAGTGCTACAGAGCCACAAGGTATGTGTGCTACCTTTAGATGAAAAAATTAAGTGTTATAAACTCTCTCAATACTGTTGGCCACAGGCTGGCTCCACTGAAACATTGCAAGGAGGTGTCCGAAGCAGTTAAAGGATTCACAATCTCTGGTATCAGCATGGCTCTGGAGGCCGACGCTAAGCCTACCAGTGTGTTTGCTGGAGTTGGGAGCGAGGATAATGCAGGTTAGAGGAGTTGCAAATTCAAGCTCCTGGATCAGGATTCACTGTTTCACCTTGTTGTAGGGAATATCAACATCAACCAATGGGAAGCAGTTGAACCCACCCTCTTCCCTCCCTCCCTTCTACCTCTCATCAGCTTCGTCATCTCCTCCCTCACCCCCTTGCATTCAGGCCACTCCTCGACCAAGTCCCACACCTCACTAAGCTTCCCACTCTCACTGAACAGTAGGTCAACACCTCAGTTCTGTGCTGTTGTTTTAATATTGCACCATTGTGTAGGATCTGAGCTGGCCAGCCAGGCAATAAAGCAGTGCATGATAGAAGATCCTCGTCTGCTGTTTCGACCACTTCTGAACAGATTCAACAGACTCTACCAGGAGATCAGTGACAGGGCCAACCGTTACTCTCAAGTCGCCTTTATAAAGTCACTGGTACATATCAATACACCATACATTAGCTACTATTACGTACTGCCAATATTGCATACTGAATACACCCTTTCTAGATACTGGTGTATTGCTGGCCCGCATAGCATTATTTCCTCCCTTTTCTGTCTGGCTTATTGTGGACCAAATTTCAGGGATGTAAAGTTAGTTCAACCGTTTTCCGTTTCTCCTACAGAAAGAAATTCTCCACCCACTTCACGTCATACTCCAGTCCTTCCCCTCGCTGCCGCCAAAGGCAGCTCATTTCCTGTTCAACAGTTTCATTGGGATTATCACCAGACACACGGACCAGCCCTGCACCTTCTCCACTGAGATCATACAGAGTGTCCTCCTGCTGTTGACTATGGTGACGACAACCTACTTAGAGCACATATAGACTAAGAATATGTCGCATTGCCCTGTCGTCCCTTGCTTTGCCGCATCACGGGGATAGAATCCATTTCTATCTTTGCGGCGCAGCGCGGTGCGACAGGGCAATGCGGCGTATTGTGAACCCAAAACACGGCTCTACCCCCAAATCTGGTATACTTGGCAAGTGTCTGAGCATGTGTCAGACGCACTACCAACATTGAGAACGCAATGTACAGCAGACACAAGCCTGAGCTGTTCAATTCACATGTTCGCGCATGCGCATAGTCATGGCAGACAGTCAGATTACATGTGGAAAAATCACGCAGTTCAGATCCTAAGTACAATAATTATAGTACCTTGAGATAAGAGCCGAAATATCGTGTAGCCTTGGCGCTACACCCAATTGCTTCAGTTCATAGTTCAGCTAACAAAGTAATTCCACGTTCGCGCGTATTGCGCAGACACATCAGTACACCCCAAAGGTTGGGCTTTCTGGCTTGATAAATTTCACGGGCTCATAATTTCAAGGGTACGTACTATTCATAGTGAGTACAAAAGATCTTGGACTCTTCCCCTTGCCAAAGTACCTAACTACCATAATTATTATGAATGGCTCCACTAAGTGCTCCCAGTAAATCATAATGGGTATGGACAGGTCACTGGCTTGTACTGTGGGATCAGGGCATGTTCTACAAAACCCACTAACAGTACACCAATGAATGCATCATCTGGAGTCATTGGTGGGCACCCTGCAGCACGCTTGCCAAGTGGTAAGGGCATTCCTCCGTCAAATTAGAAAGAGAAAGGAGAGCTGTAACGATTGGCTTACTAATGCAAGACTAACATGCGCGATCCAAAAATGTGTTGCATTTGTTCTAGTTAAATCTTCTCCCACAGGTGATCCCTAGTGTAAAGGGGCTGGACCTGAAGGCACTGAAGAGCATGCTAAAGAAAGAGTCATGTTACACCACAATCCTCACGACCGCCCGAATCCGCGGCACTGAAAAGATCAACATCATTGATGAGACAGTTGGCTCCTCTACCTCAAGGGTAAAAATAGTAATTTTCTCACGGAGGCCTTTCCGACTGTATGAAATGAATTAGCAAAATGACTTAGATTTTACAGTATATATCAATATTATATCTTCCACTTTCTAGTCCTTTCTTCATGACCAGAGTGTTGACGCAGACGACACGTTTGGGCAGGTGATTGCCCAGTTCAAAGGTACACAACTCTCATACGAGCTGCTGCAGAGTCTCTACCTTGTGGATCAGAGCAAAGGTAGAGAGACATAAGGAGTACCGTTTGCCAAAAGTCCATGAAATGTGAAATTTTTATCGTGCGCTCCCATTTGGACACTTACATATTTTCACCTTTTCACTGACACACTTTGAGCCTATAGGTGTGTAAATTACCGTACACTGAAATCCTCAAAAAAACCTGGGTGCTGTTATGCACTTGCCTAGTCTCAACACTTTATGCCTTATGCCCTGGAACATTCTATGTAGTAGGCGTTTATGAGTTCAGGTGTATTGTGGGCTCACCTCTATGCATATAAGGCCCATATGCAAACTGTTGAGGCCTTTAAAACTCTACTGTTTGTTTACTCGTGGCAGATCTTCCTGTGCTGAGTATGCTAGTGGTGAAAGACCACTACAGTATGCTCTCGGATAAGCAGTACCCGACCTTTGTACTGCGCGACACACAGAGGGGGAGTGGTCGGGAGGTGTGGTCCTGGGGAGACCAGATGGACCAGCTGTTTGTCCACAAAATGAGTGAAGTGCTGCGAGTGTTGATGATCTTTAAGCTGCTCCAGACTGGTCCAGAAGTTGAGCGTGGTTCCGCTGACATTTACAACAAGGTAATGACTACCAATATCAAACTCATATCCCCTTATGTATGAGCAAACACTATAATATATAGGAGGGATAACACAATGATCGGTATGCACTGTTGATTACATACATTTTGCCACAATATAAGTAATGCGCGAGACATCCATAGTGCATGCAATTGCACCAGTGGATCACGCATGGGAATGTGGCAGTATAATATAAGGGCTAAATGTTACTGAAAATGGGTTTAGTTCTTTAGTACATTTAGCCCTTATGTACTGACACATTCCCTTAAGTATACACGCAATATGCACAACCATTGTCTTTATGTATACTGCTTTAGAGTGGTTTGCGCTGTCCCATCCACAGTTTGCGCAGCCCAACTACCGATTCCTGCATCAGGAGCTGGTGGCACTCAATTCATTCCCGCGACAGGCCCTCACCAGTATCCTCTACGAGGCTGGCCCGGCATCTCTCTCCCACCACCACCTACGCAGCTCTGACTCCATGCTCATGGGGACGTGGGTAAAATTTGTTCTCGGTCTATTTGTGCAGGCCAAACCAGACTACGACTGGGAGAATAGTCTCGGTCTGTTCCTGAATGTAGTGAACGGAGCCCTCTTGCTCTACAGCGAAGACCTCTCCATCCTTCGCCAGGCGCTCGCTGCACTCATAGTTGTCGTGTCAAAGTTTGTCAATGTGTTTCAGAGACGTGGCTACGAGATGGTAACCCCAACGCTCATCCAAGTGTATGCGTCTCACATGAGCAATAAGCTCATCGCGAATGCCCTGAAGTTCGTCTGGGGGCAGTTCTACATGCTCAATCTTGACAGCAACGTTTTTGTCATGCAAGCCATTGCAGCCACCGCCACACTTCTGTCAGAAGAGGTAAAACCCAAATCATGTCCAGTTAGCAGTGGGATCAAGCTCACCTAGCGGTCCAAGTTTTTTTTCATTTGTATATAGTGTATATATATTCCTTATTAAACATTGTCCAACTGCATATGAGTTAGGATCGCATGCTTCTTTTTATACGAAATCCCATTAGGCTCACTCCCACTCACCAAAGTACTCTGCATTTGCCAACCAGTAGTTAACGTTGTGTGCACACGTGTCATACATGCATGGTATGATCATTAGGAGTGAAAGTGATCAGTCGACCCACTTCTCCTACTTTCTAACTGTCATGTTTTTGCACAGGCGGCGAAAACTGTCAGCATCTTCAGGCACCCCTCTTCGACCATCTCTCCTCTCCCAACACTTGAGTCCGGCTGTGGTTCAGAGCAACAATGCCAGGGCTGCCTTCCAGTTGCTACAATCACTTGACTCTGAAAATCCTCCACAGGATGACCTACACATCATGGTCAGTATGTCACACAGCATCGTCATATATTATTATACATCATAATGTTTTGGAAAGCACTTTACCATACATTTATAATGGGGGGCGTATGTACCACAAAACCTTTAAACGATGACCAAAATGGTATCTGTGTAAAATGGGACCAAAATGATACTAAAGAGCATCGTCAACGTCGCATCGTACTTTATCGTGCACGTCTATAGTGTTATGTATAGAGTGATTGTCTGATGGAACTGTAATACTATGTGTGTTATGTAGAGTGATTGTCCCATGGAGCAGAGGATGCTGAACATCCACTGGCAGCCACTAACACTCCAGACAACATTTTATCTCTGCATTACTGTTGCCTCCTGGAACCCTGAGGCTGTGCGAGGAATGCAGGTCTGCCTCTCCCCTTATCCCTTGTCATAGAACTGTTTGATATGCACTTGCCTTTTGTTTAGCCCGACCCCACTGTTCATCAATTTCCCGCACAGGTGCTGGTTTTTATGGATCACCTCGTTCCAATGTTTCTTAGCGCCATTTCTCTACCGCGGACATCCACCTTTGTCCTGGAATCCATGAAGTCATTGGTCAAAGGCTGTGATGCCATAACAAAGTAAATCTTCCTTCTTGCCTTTTGCATGGTCCACACTCTGCTTTGGTAATACCACAAAATTTGGCATCAACATTTTTTGACATTAAGAAACCTTGAAAATAGGTTTAAGCACTTATCCACATGTGAGCATTCGCACAATATTATTTCATCCACCTGTTTCACAGACCGCAGTCGTGGAAGGGAGAATTTCTGAGCAGTCGACGAGACACTCAGCGAACTGACACCCAGCACAACCTGGACCTGAGGGACACCTTGCCCCAGCAACCGCAACCCTCGCTTTTCACTGCTGCCCCCGTCGAGCGGAAAACCTCGAGGGTGGCAAAGCTCTATAGAAGGATCGTGAACCCAAGCAAGACAGAGGAGGTGTCAGAGGGAAGTGCTTTCTTCCTTCAGATTAACCTGGACAAGGCCATTTCCTCTCTGAAACCTATGGGTCACCTTGAATATGTTGGAGGGTTCAAGTAAGTCGTCAACAAAACAACTTAAGACAAAACTTAGTAGAAAGGCCAAGATATGCAGCGAAGCTTGTGGCCTAAACAACTCTGTGTATGAAAGAATGCTGACATATTGAACTCATTGGGGCTGAAATACGTGTAATATTACTACGTGTGTAATTGCGTAATAAACGTTTTAGGCTACTACATGTAGCGTGTGCTAAATGCTGTGGAGGTCCCTGATTCTACTCTGGACACCGGGGGAACTTTACGTTTCATAATTGTTGAGTATTGTGACATAATTATGGAGGCATAATTATGTGTTCTTTGCCCCAAAGATTTCACAAAATGTTTTAAATCTTTCCCGGAGCAAGTTCTGAGTACTATCTGTTAAATTTTACTTTACTACCTGTATCCACGTTGAAACGTATTTGTTGCCATAGGAGACGACTTCAGGCCACCAATCAGAGGGTCCTTCAGTTGTCACGGGAATCGCTCCTCTCCCTGTCTTCCAAGATGGTACTCCATGAAGCCACACTGCTCAGAGAGAGGAGTGGGGCTGGCTCTAAGACAGTGGTTCGCTTGGATGCACAGACCACTGCGGTATGTACCAACCAGACCACACTTGGTGGGAGAGCAGGAGAATTCCCAAATTTGGAGGTTACCCCATTTCACTTGGAAATGGGCATGTCCAGTGCGAAGCAAGCATGTCCAGTTGTTTCAATGCGATAATCTTTAATGTCTGAAGGACTCTTTCGGGGCACTGCACATACCACGTTATACTAAATGCGCCCAAAATGCGCCCAAAATATGCACAAAATATTTAACTGCTATGCATATTTAGTATGAACCTGTTGTTTTTTCCCGCAGTACCTAACAGCAATAGCAGTGCAGGTCTTAAAGATTGGAGGTACTAATGAGGATACTCTCAATTCTCAAGGATTGTGTAGGTGGGTTTTGCCATTGTGTAGTGGGGTTTGTTGAAGGCCATCAGGGAGATATTGTTTTGAACACTAGGCAAGTGGCCAGGACATGATTCAGCACTCAAACAAAACCACATGGAGTAGAATTTAGGAATGCCTGCAAGAAAGGTTTTTTTACATCACACCTCAAGATAATGCTTTCCTTCTACAGTTTTATGGAGTCTCTACTGCCAAACATTGAATGGACAGATGCCCACTTTGGCTCCTTCCACAACATTGTCAATCGTCTGGTGAAGCTGTTCAGAATGCTCGGCCGAGTTGTAAGATATTTCTCGACAGTGTACACTTATATGAAATAGAAAAAGAGGAGGAGGGCATTTGCTGTTAATTTGCCTTCCAGCACAACAGCGGGATCCAGGGGGGTTCGTTGGGTTTTGACAAACTACTTTTGTGCGTGCGTAGCTACACAAGAGTACCAACTGCCACCCATCGGTGACCGCGCTTTCGTGCACATAGCGGCAAAGGAGCGTACTATTGTCGCTGTGGCTTTTGCGCGCAGCAGGAACCTATGGCTTGTCTCCTCTGATCTTTAGCAACTCGTGCGCGCACATATGTAGTTGTTTGCACATTTTCATTTCGTACAAAAGCTACCTTCGCCACAATTTTCTGGATCTGCCCCTAAGTAGAAAACTGTCCCAAGCACATGTTGGCTTGCATGTACGTGGTGTGCTCACTTTAGCTTTGGGGGTGCTTGAAATTTGGCTTTGCGTACAGCTGGTTGGCTAGCTGTCTAGCTGGTTTTATTAACGCGTGTGATTCTTGTAAATGTGTGTGAACGCTGGCAAGGATTAATATCACATGAAATAGAGTACTCAGGGTTGTATCTGAAGGATTTTATATTGCCTCTTTGCAGAGAATTTTACTAGCGTGGGACGGTCTTACAGTGTTTCTGAAAGGTAAGAGTTTGGTAATGAGTTATAATCTGTAGCATCACGCCCATTTAATCAGCCTTAACCATCAAACACATGCACAAGGTCTTCATAACATACAGTTCTAATGAGGAATTTCCAGTTGTGGGTGGGGAAATTCCAAGTAAAGTGCATTGGTCACGAATGCATAAACAAGAGAAACTGAAGATGTGGCGTGATGGATCTGTGCGCAGGCCTATGAACTGTTCAGTGCATGCGTATTGTGCACTTTTATGCTATGCTGCTGCCGCTCTAGTGTGGATGACACACACGTTGCGCTGAGGACTTTAGTGCTTTCATTAACCCTCGGTGCGCATGCGCTGCAGGTCTATGTGGGGAGAAAGGGGGAAATAAACAAAACAAAAAAAAAAAAAAAGAGGGCGGGTGCGGGCGGGCGGGGGGGGGGGGGGGGGGGGTGGGGGGGGGGGCTGGTGGGGGGTGGGGGGGGTGGCGGGCGAGGGGGGGCGGGGGGGGGGGGTGCGTTGGGGCGGGGCGGGGTGGTGGGGGTGGGGGGGCGCGGGGGCGGGGGGGGGGTGCCGGGGGCGGGTGGGGGGGTGGGGGGGGGGGGTGGGGGGGGGGAGGTGCGTTGGGGCGTGGGGCCGCGGTGGGGGGGTGGGTGGGGGGGGGGGGTGGGTGCCGTTGGGGGGGTCGCGGGGGGCCGGGGGGGGGCGGCGAGCGGTGCGTGGGTGGGGTGGTGTGGGGGCTGGGACGGCGTGGGGGGGGTGTGTGGTGGGCGGGGGGGTGGGTGGGGCGGCGGGGACTTTACGGGCCAGGGGGGGGGGGGGGGCGGGGTGGAATACAACAACCACATAATATCATCCAAAAAATTCAAAAAAAGCAAAATTAAATACACAAAAAAAAAAAAACAAAAAAAAAAAAAACTAAACCAAACTACTTTCCATAAAACAAATAAACAAAAAAAAAAAAACAAAAAAACAACAAACAAAAAAAAACGAAAAAAAACCCAAAACAAAAAAAAAAACAAAAAAAAAAACAAAAACCCACTTCCATTCAAGAGATATGTATGCTTTAGTGGCATCGCCTGAACTCTCATTTCAAACAATTGACAGTTTGGTTTTCAAATTAATATCATGAATTTACATGGAGGTTATAAATCATAAGTAATGTAAACTCTGTGTCTGTTTATCCTCTTGAAAGTGAGTTCAGTTGTAGAACCGTCCAACTGGTTCCAAATAAGGTCCACCAACTGGACTGTATTGTCAAACGGAAGCACACATTGTGCATAAACAAAATTCTGCAGCAACCGTAGCATTCTTACCATTTACTACAAACTCCATCGGAATCCTTGTAGGACCTCTCTTGGAGAGGGTTATGGCAGCAGTCATCTACAGTCCCAACATGATAAGAGTAATCCTCACAGTATCCATTGTGAGAGAAACACTCAACTGCGAAGTGAAAGAAGTGATGTATTTTCACATGGGTTAGCATAGGTTTCTTAATCACGTACTTGCGGTGGATTTGCATATGCACTCTCCATCATAAGCCAGCTCACAGCCCTTTCCACAGGTAGGTGGTTCAGTGCCAACTGCCTCACATGTGCAGCCATTGGCACTGAGACGACCCTTTGGACACTCACGTAGCCTTGCACTGAAGCACATGCATCCTTCCTTCAGCTCAGCCCCAGGTGGGCACATGACATCGGCAGTGCCAATGCAGAGGGCAGAGTGGGGAGTGAGACTAGCGCCGTGGGGGCATGTAGGTGGCTGTCTGAAGTTACAGCTGCAGGTTTTTGAGTTGAGCTCGAATCCAGCTTTGCAGAATGGTATCATTAGCTTCTCGCAGGCACAGAGCCCATATCCCTTCACAATGGGTCCGTAGCCATCGGGGCACACAGCATCACGGTTGGTGTTGCAGAGGCAATTTGTTGTTATCAAAGAAGGTATCCCTTGGGCATGTAGGGGCATCGCATGTCTGTAAGAATGAAAGAATCAGTTTAACTAGGCACTTCTTGCCCAGCATGCACCCAACCCCGGATGCCCACTGGCCTAGAACACTGAGAGTGTGAGGGTACCAGCAACAATGGTACTCTGCATACCCCGTAATTGAGAGCCTGGCTTTGCTGGATGAGCACTGCTAGCAGGCAGGAAACGATGCAGAGGGCTGTCTTCATGACTGTCGCAGAAGGAGAAAGATTATCTGGTTTGCTGCTTATTCTGCTGCTGGAGGGCTTTATGCTGCTGTCAGTAGGGGGGCTGCTTTTATACCCACTACCCCTGGCTGCCGGTGTTCAGACCCCAGGAACCAGTGAGGATGTTCATTCAATAGGGCAATTGTACACATCCTCAGTGCCTTTTGAGAGTTGAATACCCCTAGCCTGGGAGCCTGAGTTTTAGGGTTAACCCAGTTGAAAGGATGTGGAGACCCTGGACAGGATAGACATAGAAGCAAGGGCTGATCTTTGCCATAGCTACCCCACAGGAACACTTTATGACCAACCATACCAACTATCCCCTTAGCCTGGGAGCCTGAGTTTAAAGTTAATTAGGGTTAACCCAGTTGAAAGGATGTGGAGACCCTGGGACAGGATAGACATAGAAGCAAGGGCTGCTCTTTGCCATAGCCACCTGACAGGAACACTTTATGACCAACCATACCAACTATTCATGAATCCGTTGGTTTGGTTTCAAGGTTCTTGTGTGCTCATAAATACAGATTCAGTCTGGACTTTCCTGTCGTTCAGTAGTAACAGGATAACTGGATTTCATGCCTTGTGCACTTACTGAATCATCAAAATATAACGGGTGTGACACTTAACTAAAAAGGCAAGTTTTTGTTCTAATACCAAGAATCTACTCTCACTTATAGAGTGTAGCTACGTACACAGCGTAATAAGGGGTGGGCGTCTTCTGGAATATTCTTTACTTGTCAGTTGTTATGAGGATGTGTCATCACAAGCAAAATGCGCTGCTCCTCAGTTGCAAATTGGTGAACTGTAGCAATGGTCTGCCGAATTACCCTGAGGGAATTGTATGGAAAGAGCTGCCTGGCAGTTATCAGGATGTTGAGTGGTTGTTATCAGGATGTGGGAGTTGCGTTAAGTCAAACTTGCCTGCAAGGAAATCTGTGAAGCGTTTTTGCAGTTGTGAGCATGGACAAAGGCTAGGTTCACAATATGTCGCATTGCCCCGTCGTGAGGGTATCTATATCGCGGCAGGACGTGACGCGGCACGGCACGACGGGGCAATGCGACGTAAACCTAGCCTAAGCGAGGTCACTGTGCCTGCTCCCAGAGTGACTTAATCATTCATTGATTTTTGTAATGGCGTTGGTCATAAAGTAGGGTACTTAACCAACATTCTTCAACCTTGTGTCTCATCATCACCACCAATTGATTATCAGTGTAGGGTACACTGTGTTTTATGATCTCAGTGTTCTGTTGGTAGGTTTTGTTCATCTACATAGCGCTTGTTTTTCAGATCAAACTTATTGCGCAAGACTTTCCCATAAATCGTGTGAAGACTTATTCAACTTAGATATACATATACACTTGTTGCAGAAATTAATGAATCAAGAAATAACATGCTACATTGTTCATCCACTTGCAAGCTTGATTCAGTTGAAGAACCTTCCACGTGCCACAGGGCTGAGTAGTAATGGCATATGTAACTTAAGGCATATTGAAATCCAGACACCCTTACCATTGTATACAATCTCCGTTGGAGTTTTTGTAGGACCTCTCTTGGAGAGGATTGTAGCAGCAGTCCTCTACAGTCCCAACATGATAAGAGTAATCCTCACAGTATCCATTGTGAGAGAAACACTCAACTGCGAAAGGAGGCAGAGGGTATTATGGCATAGTTGAGCTGATGTATATTATCACTTACTTGCGGTGGACTCGCATCTGCACTCTCCATCATAAGCCAGCTCACAGCCCTTTCCACAGGTAGGTGGTTCGGTGTCAACAGCCTCACATGTGCAGCCATTGGCACTGAGACGACCCTCCGGACACTGACGTAGCCTTGCGCTGAAGCACATGCATCCTTCCTTCAGCTCAGCCCCAGGTGGGCACATGACATCGGCAGTGCCAATGCAGAGGGCAGAGTGGGGAGTGAGACTAGCGCCGTGGGGGCATGTAGGTGGCTGTCTGAAGTTACAGCTGCATGTGTTGGTGTTCAACTCGAATCCAGCTTTGCAGAACGGAATCATTAGCTTCTCGCAGGCACAGAGCCCATGTCCCTTCACAATGGGTCCGTAGCCATCAGGACACACAGCATCACGGTTGGTGTTGCAGAGGCAATTGTTGCTATCAAAGAAGGTATCCCTTGGGCATGTAGGAGCATTGCATGTCTGTTAGTGGGGAAATGCAGGGCACTATCAACTCCCAATAGTTAACAACTAGTCATATATACCCCATAGTTAAGAGCCTGTCCTTGCTGAATGAGCACTGCCAGCAGGCAGGAGAGGATGCTGAGCGTCGTCTTCATGATGAAGATTGAGTGAGTTATGTTCCTTCTTCTGCTTCTGGAGTGCTCCGAGTTGTTGTGAATGTTAAAAGAGAGCGGCTATTTTATACTCTTTGACCCTTAACAGTTTTTAATATCAGGAACCCTGTGGTTTAGTAGGTCTGACAAACTCTGTAAACTGGTTAGTCGAATGTCTGCTGAACATCCTCTCCTCATTCAGAGCACACTTTGAGTTTCTGGTCTCTGAATTGTTGGAAGGATGTGGAGTGTGTGTACCTCTGCAGAGGACAATTTGTTACTCTAGACACAGGCCTAGCACTGCTTCTTTCCTGCCATAACCATGGAGACCCCAGATAATTCAGTTACATAACCTCTTCTTCTTTGGGATCCTGCGGACCTTCTCACCCAATGTGCAACAAAAATGGGAATTGCATACGTGATGTGTTCGAAATCCAATACAACAACACTTGTATTTAGATTCTTTTTTTTGTTGAGAAAATCAAAAACTCTGCAAAACTCAACAAAAGTTTCAATCTCTGTTGTATTTTCTGTCCCCTCATGCTTTTTCAGCAAAATCAGTGTTTTCTAGCTCAATTAATAGCTGGAGTATTCTACATGTACAATGATGAGCAACTTTTTATCTAAGTTTAGCTATCTTTTCCTGTTGTCTGCTTCAAAACTTTATATACAATAATGCATCAAAGTTCATAGTAGCTAATCATGCATATTATAATCATTTACTGTATAAAGTTCATAGCTCTGAGTCCAGTCAGTATTTTCAGTCCAACATTTTTTTCCTCTCTATTATCCACGATAGTAGTGGTAGTAAGCACTGCAGTAAGAGGATGAAACTCAAATACTTAACTATTATTAAGGGAGTATTTTCTTACCAACGGGAGCACCGGCCATATTTGTTGCGGTAGGAGTAATTATTTCAGGTACTGCCGGGTATGCGGGGGACTCTGACTGTCGTCACCATCATAGTCTTCAGGCCAGTGGTAGCAACATTCGGCTATGTCAGACACATAATAGGTTTGGCCGCCACACCTTCTGGAGTAGTAACACTGGATTTTTTGTGGGTCTGAAACGAGTGTAAAAAACAATGGAGAGGATAAACTCTATGCTGAAGTGCTTACCGTCTCTTTCGCAAGTACACTGTCCATTGGTGTTCAGAGAACAGCCACGCCCCTGGCACCTCGGTGGATACACATTTTTACACTTGCAATCATTTGCAGTCAGCTCCCCGTTTTGGCACTGGCGATCAACCTCCTTTATGCACTTACACCCAACTCTGCGGAAGCCTTTGGGACAAGTTGGCTCGTCGATCCCGATGCACTGAGCATTCCGCGGAGTGAGGTAGGTCCCATTTGGACAGGTCGGGGGAACCCTGATCTTGCATATACAGGCATCAGGATTGAGTGTGTAGCCTGCATCGCACTCTGGGTGGACAGCAGCCTGGCAGGAGCAACGACCGTAGGAATCCACAATCTCCGAAGCGTCATTGGGGCAAGTAGACTTGGTGAAGTTGACACAGTTGCAGGCGTGCGGGTCAAAGTTGGCTCCAGAACTACATTCTGGGGCACTGCAGTACTGCAATAGCAAAAGTATTTTATATGCAGCATTATATACTATTGCTTATTATAAGACACTCACGTCTTGGGCTGCAGTTTGCTGCAGAAGTATCACCATGGTACATAGTACGACTGTCACAATCAGCTTCATGGCGACTGCTGTTCTCACGGATACTTTGTCAGTTTTCTTTGTTCAGCTGTTCCTTTCGTTCTGATGCTCTGGCTGTTTCAGTAACTTGCCTTTTATATCTGATGTCTGATTGTTGTTTGCTTATACTAACATGATGTCGGTACACAACGTGTTTTTGCATTTCCCAAAGAGTGTGTTTGACAGCCACCCTCTCAGATAGACACATTTATTGGGTTAATAAAACTGTGAAAACTACATGTTTATCCTAGGTTATGTGTTAGAGCTGAGAATATCTTGTTTGCTCGAAACCACTCCCTTGTTAGGGGTCCTTTTTCGATCATCGTGCTATGTGGTGTAAACAGCATGGTTGTGCATCATAAGTGAAAACATCCTGTTTGTTGGGGGGGATGGAAATCCTGTTGTGGTATGTTGTTGCTCCTTGACGAATTAATCTGAGGTTTATCCTGTTTCTGGTCTAGACATGAGGGCCGCACAGAAGGCTTTGGTTAGGCAACACCAGGTCGAAGGCTGAGAAAGAGGATATAGTGCTCGTTCTAAACAAACCTTGCA